ATTATAAACAATATGATATTAAAAATATGACGCAATTTATGACCCCTCCCCTTCTTTTAACAGTAAGAAGAGAAACCACCTGTTATTTACTCACCTGTTGTCCTCCATGTTCCTGCGACAGCATCCACCAGCTCCAATTTGGTTGGCACACCATCCCTCGTAGTTGGCCAATATGTGTGTGCGGCGGCCTCATGAAGTTTACTGACGACGGCTCCAAGATCGCTGCCAACTCCTAATGACCAGCTTTGATGATCCGCTGAATTCCCTTTTCATGTTACTGTAAATTTTAAATTGTTTCTTAATGTTATTTAACTTGTTTTTAAATTTGGACTTACCAATGCATTTTTCTCGCCAAAGCTGTGATATAGTAGAGATGGTAATAGTAGATAGGGATGATATTTCGGCACCAGTGATGTGCAATTAATGCTAGAGATGAGATGTTTATATTCTTTTGCAATGTTACCAGATAACCGCAAATCCGTAATACCAGAGAAAAGTTGGCGGGAAAAAAGTTGCCCTCCTGGGTAATACCTCAGCAGCTTTTCTTACCTTAAATGTTGCAATGTTATAAGGCTAAGCGGCTGCCCCTTCTTTTTTGTTTGTTCTAGTAATGTTTTAATTTATTATATATGTAGTGCCATTATAAAGTAAAGTCATCAAATTCGTATTATATTCATTTATTTATTTCAAAAATCTGTGATATTAATTTGGAAAATGGCCGTGATGTATATAAAAGCAACGACTGGCACTACTTAACTTTATAATCCATGTACAACATACACCAAACACCATTGTTAAACACATAATAAACAACACGAAACACAAACAAAACATACACAAACTAATAAAAACACAAACAAAAACCAATGAAAACACACATACACATACCAGATCTTATTTTTTGGCGGCAACTGGACGCATCCTAGCAATTTTTGGCGCCTGCAACGAGAATATAGACTTCATGCTACTATGAGACTGCTGCCCCCTTCCCCCTCCTGCATACCCCCTACCACACCATTGCATGGACCCCAGCATACGAGAGTGCTGTAGCTATTAGCTGCCTAAAAGACGGGAAAGAGTCGGTGAGGAACCATAAACCCTTGTTGCCCCCCGCTCTGAAGCAGATGCCCTCCTTGATAAAAGAAGACTGTCGGCTGGTAGGTTATACCGGGCACAATAGGAAGCGAATGTTGCTCCAGTGCTACCGGTGCCAACTGTTTGGACACACCCATTATGGGTGCAGAAATAGCCCCAGGTGTATGAAGTGTGCAGGTGGACACCCTACATCTTCATGCACCAAGCCGAAAAGCAGACCCGCTTGTTGTTGCAACTGCAACGGGGACCACACAAGTGGCTATAAGGGTTGCCCGTCTAACCAAAAGGTAAGAGAAGATGGGCTGCGAAGGGGGCAACGGGTAAGAGGAGGCATGTGCCTCTCCGCCCACAAAAAGAGAAAACAAAAGAAAAAGGGAAGAACCAACGCCGTCATCCTTCTGGGGGTCATCCCTCTCTGGGTCATCCTTCTCGGGGTCAGGGATCCTCGCAGGGTCATCCTTCTCGGGGTCAGGGATCCTCGCAGGGTCATCCTTCTCGGGGTCATCCATCTATGGACAGGTCCCGCCCCCTAAAATGTGCTGAAAAAACCCACGCCCACCCTGGCCGCCAACAGGGGCCGCAATATATTTGCAAAAATAAAATAAATAACAGAATAATCAATAAAAAACAGCAGCTGATAAATGATGACCTCCAGGTGAAAGTGGTGTCCAGACTTGACTACCTAGAAAAGATATTCATGGAATTAATTAAAAATTCGATAGTTTAATTATAAAAAATGACTCACCCAATGCTGCCGATGACGTCACGGATAATCCGTTTAAAAAACGGATGGCCGCCATTGAGGACGACTCCCTTATGGGCCTCTTCCTGGCCAGCAACCATGCGCAGGTCTAGGGGTCCTTTCCCCTTCATGGGTCCTGCAGCCGTAGGTGCCTCCTGGTTGGCCACCTTGGCTCCCATTTGTCCGGCCATGGCCCAGCTTGACGCGCCTTCTCTAGAATTTGGCGTTCCTGAAATTGACGATTTTTATATAAATAATGTAAACAAACACCACCTTCACTACGTACCTGAATAATTTATAATCCATCGCTGCTGTGGTCACTGTGAGGCGCATCCATTTACGGCGGCAGCATGCCCCAGTCGTTTGTGGCCAATTTCACGACGGCAGCCACCGCAGCCGACGCCATGCCTAGGTTTGCGATGATGGCGCCGGCTTTCACTGAACGGTCCCACGTTGGCGCTACTCACTGTGACCATCCTCCCTCGGCGTCCTCATCGGGGTCCAGCAGCTGTGGCGGCCATGCACTAGCGCCTGCAGCCACCCACCGATGTCGTCCCTCTCTGGTCCACCGTCGATGTCCCGCGTTGGTCCCTCGTTGGTCCATCGGAGATGTCCAGCGTTGGTCCATGTTCCCACGTTGGCACAGCATGATGCGCGTCCGTCCTCTGCCTCATGTTTTGGATATCTAAAATAAAAAAGGAAATTAGAAGAGAAAATAATATAAACAAATTATAAACACTTACCATGGAACCTTCCCGACGAGTGGCTGAATAACAAATAAATTTGGCCGGCGTCTGTCGGCTGCGCATCTGCTGCTAAAATAATGAGAAAGAGAAATAAGAAAATGAAGCCAATATTCTGCCACTAAAACTCACCATCTGCTGCGTCCAATTGCCGGTTTTATTCGGCGTCAAATAACACAAACGCCGGCGCTACTATTTGGGCTTTACGCTGCCCATTTTGTTGGCGCCGTTCCTTTATTGAAAATTTGCAGCGTTTGTCGGCGTCCATGCCATGTCGGCGCCGTACATTTGTTTTTGCGCCGGCTTCTTCGTGAGAATTTGCTGCGCTGATCCGGCGGCGCCACCATGACGGCATTGCCATGGATACGGCGGCGTCACTTGTTGCCGTCTTCCTCTTCCTTCTGCCATCTGAAATTATAAACAATATGATATTAAAAATATGACGCAATTTATGACCCCTCCCCTTCTTTTAACAGTAAGAAGAGAAACCACCTGTTATTTACTCACCTGTTGTCCTCCATGTTCCTGCGACAGCATCCACCAGCTCCAATTTGGTTGGCACACCATCCCTCGTAGTTGGCCAATATGTGTGTGCGGCGGCCTCATGAAGTTTACTGACGACGGCTCCAAGATCGCTGCCAACTCCTAATGACCAGCTTTGATGATCCGCTGAATTCCCTTTTCATGTTACTGTAAATTTTAAATTGTTTCTTAATGTTATTTAACTTGTTTTTAAATTTGGACTTACCAATGCATTTTTCTCGCCAAAGCTGTGATATAGTAGAGATGGTAATAGTAGATAGGGATGATATTTCGGCACCAGTGATGTGCAATTAATGCTAGAGATGAGATGTTTATATTCTTTTGCAATGTTACCAGATAACCGCAAATCCGTAATACCAGAGAAAAGTTGGCGGGAAAAAAGTTGCCCTCCTGGGTAATACCTCAGCAGCTTTTCTTACCTTAAATGTTGCAATGTTATAAGGCTAAGCGGCTGCCCCTTCTTTTTGTTTGTTCTAGTAATGTTTTAATTTATTATATATGTAGTGCCATTATAAAGTAAAGTCATCAAATTCGTATTATATTCATTTATTTATTTCAAAAATCTGTGATATTAATTTGGAAAATGGCCGTGATGTATATAAAAGCAACGACTGGCACTACTTAACTTTATAATCCATGTACAACATACACCAAACACCATTGTTAAACACATAATAAACAACACGAAACACAAACAAAACATACACAAACTAATAAAAACACAAACAAAAACCAATGAAAACACACATACACATACCAGATCTTATTTTTTGGCGGCAACTGGACGCATCCTAGCAATTTTTGGCGCCTGCAACGAGAATATAGACTTCATGCTACTATGAGACTGCTGCCCCCTTCCCCCTCCTGCATACCCCCTACCACACCATTGCATGGACCCCAGCATACGAGAGTGCTGTAGCTATTAGCTGCCTAAAAGACGGGAAAGAGTCGGTGAGGAACCATAAACCCTTGTTGCCCCCCGCTCTGAAGCAGATGCCCTCCTTGATAAAAGAAGACTGTCGGCTGGTAGGTTATACCGGGCACAATAGGAAGCGAATGTTGCTCCAGTGCTACCGGTGCCAACTGTTTGGACACACCCATTATGGGTGCAGAAATAGCCCCAGGTGTATGAAGTGTGCAGGTGGACACCCTACATCTTCATGCACCAAGCCGAAAAGCAGACCCGCTTGTTGTTGCAACTGCAACGGGGACCACACAAGTGGCTATAAGGGTTGCCCGTCTAACCAAAAGGTAAGAGAAGATGGGCTGCGAAGGGGGCAACGGGTAAGAGGAGGCATGTGCCTCTCCGCCCACAAAAAGAGAAAACAAAAGAAAAAGGGAAGAACCAACGCCGTCATCCTTCTGGGGGTCATCCCTCTCTGGGTCATCCTTCTCGGGGTCAGGGATCCTCGCAGGGTCATCCTTCTCGGGGTCAGGGATCCTCGCAGGGTCATCCTTCTCGGGGTCATCCATCTATGGACAGGTCCCGCCCCCTAAAATGTGCTGAAAAAACCCACGCCCACCCTGGCCGCCAACAGGGGCCGCAATATATTTGCAAAAATAAAATAAATAACAGAATAATCAATAAAAAACAGCAGCTGATAAATGATGACCTCCAGGTGAAAGTGGTGTCCAGACTTGACTACCTAGAAAAGATATTCATGGAATTAATTAAAAAATTCGATAGTTTAATTATAAAAAATGACTCACCCAATGCTGCCGATGACGTCACGGATAATCCGTTTAAAAAACGGATGGCCGCCATTGAGGACGACTCCCTTATGGGCCTCTTCCTGGCCAGCAACCATGCGCAGGTCTAGGGGTCCTTTCCCCTTCATGGGTCCTGCAGCCGTAGGTGCCTCCTGGTTGGCCACCTTGGCTCCCATTTGTCCGGCCATGGCCCAGCTTGACGCGCCTTCTCTAGAATTTGGCGTTCCTGAAATTGACGATTTTTATATAAATAATGTAAACAAACACCACCTTCACTACGTACCTGAATAATTTATAATCCATCGCTGCTGTGGTCACTGTGAGGCGCATCCATTTACGGCGGCAGCATGCCCCAGTCGTTTGTGGCCAATTTCACGACGGCAGCCACCGCAGCCGACGCCATGCCTAGGTTTGCGATGATGGCGCCGGCTTTCACTGAACGGTCCCACGTTGGCGCTACTCACTGTGACCATCCTCCCTCGGCGTCCTCATCGGGGTCCAGCAGCTGTGGCGGCCATGCACTAGCGCCTGCAGCCACCCACCGATGTCGTCCCTCTCTGGTCCACCGTCGATGTCCCGCGTTGGTCCCTCGTTGGTCCATCGGAGATGTCCAGCGTTGGTCCATGTTCCCACGTTGGCACAGCATGATGCGCGTCCGTCCTCTGCCTCATGTTTTGGATATCTAAAATAAAAAAGGAAATTAGAAGAGAAAATAATATAAACAAATTATAAACACTTACCATGGAACCTTCCCGACGAGTGGCTGAATAACAAATAAATTTGGCCGGCGTCTGTCGGCTGCGCATCTGCTGCTAAAATAATGAGAAAGAGAAATAAGAAAATGAAGCCAATATTCTGCCACTAAAACTCACCATCTGCTGCGTCCAATTGCCGGTTTTATTCGGCGTCAAATAACACAAACGCCGGCGCTACTATTTGGGCTTTACGCTGCCCATTTTGTTGGCGCCGTTCCTTTATTGAAAATTTGCAGCGTTTGTCGGCGTCCATGCCATGTCGGCGCCGTACATTTGTTTTTGCGCCGGCTTCTTCGTGAGAATTTGCTGCGCTGATCCGGCGGCGCCACCATGACGGCATTGCCATGGATACGGCGGCGTCACTTGTTGCCGTCTTCCTCTTCCTTCTGCCATCTGAAATTATAAACAATATGATATTAAAAATATGACGCAATTTATGACCCCTCCCCTTCTTTTAACAGTAAGAAGAGAAGCCACCTGTATTTATAACTCACCTGATGTCTTCCATGTATCCGCCACTGCATGCACCAGCTCCGATTTAGTTGGCACACTATCTCTTGTTCCCGACCAATATGTGCGGCGCCGGCAATATATGTGTGCGGCGGCGGCGTCGCTGACTTTAAGTTCACTGCCAACTTCTCCTGACGACCAGCTTCAATGATGCCCTGATGTACCTGTCATGTTTCTGTGGATTTTAATTTGTTTTTAATGTTACTTAATTTTTATTTTTATTAACACTTACCATTTTTTCTCGCCAAAGCTGTTTAATTTGTTTTGTTAGTAGAGATGATAACAGTAAATAGCGATGGAATATCGGCGCCAGAGATGTACTATTGGTGCTAGAGATGAGTTAGTATTTTGTTATCGATGTCATGATTTTAGTATTTTTTGCAATGTTACTTGAGAACCGCCAACCACTAATGTCACAGGAAAGTTGCCGGGAAAAATGTTGCCTCCTGGGTAATACCTCGGCAGCTTTCCCTTCTTCAATGTTGCAATGTTAAAAAAGCTAAGCGGTTGCCCCTTCTTTTTTGTTTAATGTTTTTGCCATGTTTAATTTAATATATTTGTAGTGTCTTTTTGAAGTAAAAAAGTCGTAATGTTTATGTTTATATTTATTTATTTATTTAAAAAACTGTGTTACAAAAATTGAAACGACTGTGATTTATTTGAATGCACTGACAGGCACTATTTTAATTAACTTTTATTAACAATTCATGACAACAAACAAAATACAACAAACAATGAACACCATTTTTAACAAACACATAATAAAAAACACAAAACACACAAACAAAACAAAAAATGTTTATATCTTTTCCAGTTTTTATTCGATCCTTAAGCGGAATACTTTAAACAATTTGTAGATTGATTTTTCATGAATCTGCATTAAAACCCTGAGCCAAAAATATTTTCAGATTTTCTTTCCTTTTTTCAGACGAGACTCCATTGAAAATGGGGATATATGTATGTGGAAAGCAGATTATGGCCCATTGCGATGTCTATAACTTTTCAAGTTGTTATTTGATCCTTGAGCGGAATACCTTAAACGATTTGTAGATTGGTTTTTTATAAATCTGCATCAAAACTCTGAGCAAAAAATAATATCTTCAATATCTTTTCAAGTTTTTATTTGATCCTTGAGCGGAATACCTTAAACGATTTGTAGATTGATTTTTTATAAATCTGCATCAAAACTCTGAGCAAAAAATATTTTCAGATTTTTTGTCCTTTTTCTGGCGAGACTCCCTTGAAAATGGGGATATGTATGGAGAGGAGACTATGGCCCACTGCGATGTCTATATCTTTTCCAGTTTTTATTCGATCCTTGAGCGGAATACCTTAAACGATTTGTAGATTGATTTTGCATAAATCTGCATCAAAACCCTGAGCCAAAAATATTTTCAGATTTTCTGTCCTTTTTTTTGGCGAGACCCCTTGAAAATGGAGATATATGTATGGAAAGGAGACTATGGCCCACTGCGATGGATATATCTTTTCCAGTTTTTATTCGATCCTTGAGCGGAATACCTTAAACGATTTGTAGATTGATTTTTTATAAATCTGCATTAAAACCCTGAGCCAAAAATATTTTTTTATTTTTTGTCCTTTTTTCAGGCGAGACCCCTTGAACATTGGGATGGAAAGAGGACTATGGCCCATTGCAATGTCTATATCTTTTTAAGTTTTAATTGATCTTTAAACGGAATACCTTAAAAAATTAGTAGATTGATTTTTCATAAATCTGCATTAAGACCCTGAGCCAAAAATATTTTCAGATATTCTGTCCTTTTTTCAGGCAAGACTCCTTTGAATATGGGGATATGTATGGAAAGGAGACTATGGCCCACTGCGATTGGTATATCTTTTCCAGTTTTTAATCGATCTTTGAGCGGAATACCTTTAACGATTTTTAGATTCATTTTTCATGAATCTGCATCAAAACTCTGAGCCAAAAATATTTTCAGATATTCCGTCCTTTTTTCAGGCGAGACTCCTTTGAAAATGGGGACATGTATGGAAAGGAGACTATGGCCCACTGCGATGGGTATATCTTTTCCAGTTTTTATTCGATTCTTAAGCGGAATACCTTAAACGATTTGTAGATTGATTTTGCATAAATCTACACCAAAACTCTGAGCCAAAAATATTTTCAGATTTTCTGTCCTTTTTTCAGGCGAGACTCCCTTGAAAGTGGGGACATGTATGGAAAGGAGACTATGGCCCACTGCGATGGGTATATCTTTTCCAGTTTTTATTCGATTCTTAAGCGGAATACCTTAAACGATTTGTAAATTGATTTTGCATAAATCTGCATCAAAACCCTGAGCCAAAAATATTTTCAGATTTTCTGTCCTTTTTTCATGCGAGACCCCTTGAAAATGGAGATATATGTATGGAAAGGAGACTATGGCCCACTGCAATGGGTATATCTTTTCCAGTTTTTATTCGATTCTTAAGCGGAATACCTTAAACGATTTGTAGATTGATTTAGCATAAATCTGCATCAAAACCCTGAACCAAAAATATTTTCAGATTTTTTGTCCTTTTTCAGGCGAGACTCCCTTGAAAATGGTGATATGTATAGAAAGGAGACTATGGCCCACTGCGATGGGTATATCTTTTCCAGTTTTTATTCGATTCTTAAGCGGAATACCTTAAGGATGTAGTCTCATGTGTGAGGTTGAAAAAATCGATTTTTTTTTTTCAACACATTTCGATAGTAATGTTTATTAAGAATGTACTGTTAAAGTTTCAAATAAAAATATCAAATAATGACAGAGATACAGCCCATAATCGATAGCGCGCCTACACCGAAAAGTATGAGTTTCTCGGTAGCGTCTAAACTTTAAACGAGTTTTTCTCGGAACGACATTTTTGTGTGCGGCGCAGGTGATTCACAAAATTCTATGGTACCGATCTAGCTGAAATTTGGATATGTTGTTCTTAAAAGTAACACCTCTGTCCCGTACTAGAATCATTTATTTTTAATGATTAGTTTTTTTTTTATCATTAATTTAAGATAAATTTTTTAAATTAAAAAAAATTTTTTTTTTGTGAGCTTGCCATTTTGTTGTTTATTGATGAAAATATTTCATTCTAGTACGGGACAGAGCCATAAGCTTACAAAACAATAATCTATTCTAATTTTTTGTTTCGGATGACTCTAGCAGTCGAAATCACCTGGCCAGGGACTTACCTTTTTTTTTTATATGCATACTTTGGCATGCTATAAAGTGTATTAAACTACACAAGAATAAATTAAACAAAATATTTTCAAATAGTTTATGATGCCTATAAAAACATATGTGAAAATTGGAACAATCGCATTATTTTTTATTACAAAAAAAAATTTTTGAAATAACCTCTAAAAAGTAGGCCGGAACATAAGACTACATCCTTAAACGATTTGTAGATTGATTTAGCATAAATCTGCATCAAAACCTTGAACCAAAAATATTTTTAGACGTTTGGTCCATTTTTTCCTGTTGGGATTCCTTGAAAATGGCGTTTGCCCTATTTGGCCCACTATCTTCCCCAATTCTGATTTGATTCACAAGCGAAGTTCCTTAAGCGATTTCTAGATCGATTTCGGGTTTTTCCTATAGGGTCAACAGTGATGGCTTTATCTTCGCCATTCCTGATGCGTTTCTCAAGCGGAGTACCTTAAATGATTTATAGATCGATTCTCCGCCATTCTGCATAAAAATCATGAGACAAAATATTTTTTAGATTTTTTGTCCGTTATTCGTAAAGGCATTCCTTGAAAATGGTGTTTTTCCCTAAAGGGTCCACAGTGATGGCTTTATCTTCCTCAATTCTTATTCGTTTCTCGAGCGGAGTACTTTAAACGATTTCTGGATCGATTACCCACTATTCTGCATTAAAATCCTGAGACAAAATATTTTTCAAATGTTTTACCCATTTTTCGTGAAGGGGTCCCTCGACTGTGTGGTTTTCCCCTATATGGCCCACAGTGTTTGCCATTGGTTCCCCAATTCTCAAGCGGAGTACCTAAAACAATTTCTGTATCGATTCCTCACCATTCTCATCCGATTCTCAAGCGGAGTACCAAATACATTTCTGGATCGTTTCCCCACCATTCTTAAAAAAAAGGATTTTTTATGTTGCATATTTTTTGTCCATTTTTCGTAATGGACATTCCTGTAAATTAGGATTTTCCTCTATATCCTAATGAAAGTTGGTATGTGGTACTATTTTGCCAAAAATATAATCTATTAAAAAATGCGAACTCCCTTACTGTAAAAATACCGAATTTATGGCATGCGGACGGACATGCTTGTATCAACTCAGGAGGAGATCCTAATCGGACACTATTGACCAAAATTATAATACCCTCTACCCATGAAAATACCACAGCTCTGACCAACTCCTATTTATTGTCAGGTTATGCTTGCGTGGTTTTTTTTTTCTTTGTAATCTCGCTGCTTTGCTAAAACCAGGAACAGATTTCAAGTTACTTCGGACCCTCCGGAATGCAATAGACCTGGAACATAGGATCAGACCAGAATACCCATCTGAAACAAACAAAAGAGAACATTTAGCGGGACCTATCGTAGGCTTGCCAAGAGTGCCAAAGATGTTAAAGCCTTTCAGGAAGGTTGCATTGACTATGAGTTAGAGGAAGTCACCCCTAATAAGGACACGACCTTTGCTATGAGGAAGCTAACATGTAGATTTAAATATCAGGCCCCTCCAAACTTTTTAATTGAAAACTCCGTCCCATTAATTTCGCTTCTGAAAGGACCACGGGACCCCTGAACAGCTGCATCGTGGGGAACATTTGATTTTGGATGGATAGCAACGTAAGGAGTACGTAGGGCCTCCACTTTAAAACTTCTGTCTGCAGGAGGCTTCCAAGGATGCATCCTTGGTCCTATCCTTCCCGCGCTCTTTACCCATGATGCTCCTCATCCTCGTCATTTTTGTCAGAAGCAGCAGGGCTTACAAAGAATCGAACACCCTGCAGAGGTTATTAAAAATTTACGGAACTGAATCTACCCAAGGTACCCTTAAAAATGTGCAGTGGTATGGTACACCCTCCGTAACAATTTGTTTTCTGGCCTTTTTGTCCACGGATAGTTAATACCACAAATGAATGAGCACATGTACCTTCGTGTTTCCTTTAATAGGCTGATTATTTTGCCCACCCACATTAGGGAATTTGGTTGCCAGCCTTAGGAAACAGAAGTGGCGCCTCTGTTCGTTAAAAAAATGATCCAGCACCCAGTGGCCCGGCATGCATTAGTTCAACTCCGGATCAAAAACCCGCCGTCAATGTGTGTTTTAATTTAATTTTTTAGTTTATAATTTAACGTTGCAAAAGGGCTGAAAGATTTTTACAATACTTACAAAATAGGCAAGGACATTTTAACTAAAACAGGACATGTGCTAGCCGGAATACCGGCACCTTTAATGCGAATTTGTCTTGGTGGGTTGCGCTTCCACGAGTGAATCAGCTGTCTTGGGCTCGCTACCCGCTATTGCGGTGTCTTGCTCATCGCGCGGCCTCCTCTTCTGCAACGCATGGGTGTGGGCGTGGGGATGGGACTGTCTCTCAATGGGCTGCAGATAGGTGACGCTGCCGCCACCAATACCCGTTGCTGTTTGCTGTTGGTGGTGTTGCAGTTCTCCTGCCGATGGAGTAGAGAGGATTTTCACCGAAGGCTCTGAGGGGGCCACCAGAGATCGATGCTGTTGATGGGCAGCCAGCTGCCTCGTGGCCAGTCGCATTAAATGGGCATAGTCAACTGGCGGATGGTTGCGGTATTCGGGGTGATCCTTAACGTACTGCTCAAATGGAACTGGAACAGGCACGGGAACAGCTTTTACCGGATATCCAGCATCCACCAAAGCCTGAAATTCTGCCTGGGTCAGTGGCTTTCCATTTGGAGGCGGTAAATTCAGTTGCTTGACCTCATCCAGGGTTCTCAGTTTTGGTACCGGAGCTGAGGTGGGCGTGACCCTGGAAGGCGTTGCAATGCCGGTTCCCTGGGAAACGTAGATGCTTGATTGTGATGGTGCTGGTGAAGGATACTCAGCATGAAGAGGCAGAGCGGTGGGTGTCACGGCTACGGCTCTCTGGGCGTGCTTAATGGGATCCGGTGGACTGGGATAGAAGTTAGCTGGCGATGGTGGCGGCGGTAGCTGGCTGGGTGCCTGGTTGCGTTCGAAATCCGCATAGAGCAGGGCCTTACCAGGAGAAGCCAACTTGTAGTGCTTGTTCCGGTGGTACTGCTTGGGAATGGGATGGGACTTGGGTGCCGCAGTAGGAGCAGACTCCTGGTAGTAATACTGAGACGGTTGCGGCAGATTCGCCTGCTGAGTCGGGTAGACAACAGGGCCTAATCGCTTGGATTCCGGCGTCGGATAGATAGGGGTTGGTTGCTGAAAGTTACTAAATTTAAAAAGTGACGGAACAAAAGGCTGATTGTTGGCATCCAACAGGGAATTGGGAGTGCTAGCCAAGTAGGCCTTGGGCTGCCTCAGAGCTGGATGCGAGGAGGGCGGTGGTGGGTGCTGAGGCTGTGTCGGCTGGCGGAGCACGGTAGCCTGCTCGCTGCTACTGTCCACATAGGCCAGTGCCTGTCCTGGTTTATTGGCTTCCAAAAGTTTCTCGATTTCACTTTCTAGGGACGACTTGGCCAGCGGATGATTGGGCAATGTCTTGTAACTAATTTGCGGCTGGTAATAGGCGATCTGGGGCGGCAGTCCATGGAGTCCCTGATGAGGATCTGCCTTGTGAAGTTGCAAGCGGTGTGGTTGCTGCTGCTGCTGGGACTCTTCGTCCTCTGGAGCTCGCTGAGCCTGGGGCAGGGGCAAGTACTTGGGACCACCGCTACGGGGATGGGAGTAAGTAGGTGCTCCCAAATCTTGCTCGGAAGCCAGGCGCTCTCTATAACCCCCTAATCCTAGAACGGGTTCGGCCTGTTGCAATACCTTGTGAGTGGCGGCTGTGCTATGAAGGGGAAGGTTCTTCGGTTGGGGTCCAACTTGTTGCCCAACCTGTGGCTGCTGGTGATGTTGTTGCTGTTGCCTCAATTGCTCATGGTACGCTCGGGCCTGTAGTTCTTCTTCCAGGATTTTTAGAAACTGCTCTTCGGGAATGATTTGATAAGGCTAAATAGTTACAATACTTTTACTTTCAAATAATAAATAAAGTTTTTGTTTGTGATCCACCTGCTGAGGTATCGGCTGCTGCTGTTGTTTCAACGGCTGATGCTGCGGCGCAGGAAGAGGCAATGGCAGTTGATAGGGACTCACACCCTGGTACTGGCGTGGACGCGGCCCCTGCTGTGCTTGCGGCTGAATGGAAACTGTATAGCGCTGCTCCGCCTCCTGCTCTTGTTCCTGCTCCTCCTCGGCCACTGGCGTAGCTGACTTTTTAGGCGCACTGGCCGCGCCTTTTCCTTGACCTGTGGCCACCAGGGCCTTGGGCTGATGATGGCGCATAATGTCTTGCAGATACACATAATGCTGCACCTTTAAAGATACCGTCGTAAAAAAATTAGAAAGAGAAGTTGAGGGCGAATAATTATGGGGTGCTGTGGGCGTGTGAACTACCAACGTTTAGCCGCCGGCCAATGTCAGCAACTGTTTAATGTGGAGCCCACTTGCCACATTAACTTCATGACCACCATAAACCACAACCATGTTGCCGGGAAACTTGAAGAGCGGCAGAAACTTGTTGCAGGTGGTGGTGCTTCACAGTCGCAGTTACTGTGAGAATGGCGTGGCATCTTAAAAAAAGTTTATATAACACTTGTGGCAAGCTTTGGCTACAAAAACCCGCAGACGTAGCAGACGTAGACTAGACAACAAAATCTTCGGCTTATGGGTGTTGAAATATCTATAACCGACATTACACTGTGCAACAATGGTAGACCTCAAGGTTAGACACATTTTAGGAGCTCCAACAGGAGTCCAACAAAATGTGGGTACAACAGCAGGACCCAAAATGTACCATTTGTTGAAAAGTTAAAAAAAAGCATACGTAGTATGCATACGATTTTGATTTGGTTTTTTTTTTAATTTTTTTTAGTTTTAATTTATTTTATTGATTCTTTTTTAAATTTCTGTCGCTTAGTGTGGTATCTATGGTTCACATTATTATGGCAAATAAAGCCCCGGCAAGTCAAGGCGCCACCAAACCGACACAAAGCTGACAAACCAAAAGTGGGGTGATTATAACATTATGTCAACTTTCTTCCCACGACAGCTTGCTATTGTTATTGTTTGTGTTTTTTGTTTTCCATGTCTGTTGTTGTTTTGATGTCTTGCACTATTGAAAAGACCAGGGAAAATGAAGAAGCTGAGCCGTAGAGACTGGAAATTAAGTCGAGGTGCCAACGGGAAGGATGGAAACTGTCGTGTTGACGTGTAATAAGACAAATAATAATTTTGCAATTATGCATTTGTTGCAGTCGTTGCCGTCGCCATGTCGTGACTTAGTTTTTGCGATTGCATTTCAAAAATATTATTATTACATTTATATTCGCAAAAGCTTTTAATTTCTATTATAAGTACATATATATGAATTTTGTAACAAAATCATTGTCTTTAGCTAATTGCAATTGCCTTGTCTTAAATCGCAGTTAGTAAATATTGCAATTTGTACCGAAAATAAGCCGTCAAGCCACAAAGAGATATTGGTCAAGGTTTCTCGGTCTCGGCGAAAGGGAGAATTTGACAAAATTCGGCTTTCGGGCTGTTTTTCGGATCAAGGATTGGTGGGCTTTTGTCTCTGGATTTCTGTTTTGATGCTTACATCCGGCATTTTGCAAAGAATCGTGTGGTTGCAGCAGCCGATGCCAGTCACGATGCCCAGGTCGTCCGATGTCTGATGGCCGCGGGGCAACATTTACAAAAGCTCTCAAATAATCAAAACAACATGGCTGAGATGTTGATGAAACGCCCCTCGGTTGGGATAAAACAAACAAATGAACACCACAAGCTCTCACGGCATAGGCAATTTATCACACAGCCAGTCAATCAATAGTTCACCCACTCCCAGTAGAGATCACAGTATTATTGAGGTTGAATTAAAAAAATGGTGCAATTTAGGAGGTTTCTTGAGATGTGTAGAGCACTTGTCCCTTTCCAAATTTCTAAAATTAGTTTTTTTAAGATCACTTCTAGCGAGATCATTGCTTTAAATCAGTTACCCCAAAAGTAAATTTTTGTTTGTCACCCACCTCCTGACTTTGTTCCAAAAGCTGGGCAGCATGTGGTCGAGAGTTGGCTGAAGCATAGTTCCTCAGCTGGGGTTCCTGATGCGACTCGTGCTGTTGATGCTGATGAGGGGCAATTGGCCGGATAATGAACTGGTTGGGCTTTGAGCCATAGATTGTCTCCTGTCCATCCTCAGGATCATCGTTTCCAGATGCTGAGACCTCGGAACTGCGGTGGTTCGGGTAGAGAGGGGTCTCCTTACCACTTACCTGTCGTTTGTCTTTGGTCGCCTCCGATTTGAGCGGTATGGAGGCGGAGCTTTTGTTGTCTGCCACTGCCTTGATGCCAATGCTTGCACTGCCGTCGCTCTTAACCTCCGCATCTACCGCGTGGGCAAAGGCGAGGCCTATGTGGGAGATGATATGAAATAATGGGAGTGGATTAGAACATATAATAAAGCTAATAAATAAGAATATTGGTACATTTTATAAAATTAGCCAAAGCTTCAAAAATTTGTATGAAAAGTAAAATGGTTTTGCTTTGCTTGCTTTTTTGGGTTTATTTTTCAGATGTTGGTCATATTATTTTATATAAAAAAGCAAACTATTAAATTATCAATAATCAGGTGAGAAAAACTTGTAAACGACTGAACAAAAAAAATATTTTGTAATTATTGGCACTTTATTATGGACTCACCAAGCAAAAGTGTCAAGACCAATATGTGAATTCTCATTTTGTTGCAACAACACCAGCAGACTAGCTGTTGTATATTTTTATCTGTATCCCCCCAGATCGTACTTTCACAATCACTTGATTTATTTTCTTCCCCGAACTTGTTTTATTTTATTTGTTTCCTTGTCAGTTGGAGGTTGAAACTACAAGTGTTGCATCTGCTGCATCTGCATCAAGCGTGGCGGCTGCAACAAACTAAATCAAAGAAGCACACAGCACACGAAAGCGCAAGACGGCGATTATTAATTTATTTATATAATTGAAGATTCGACACAATCCAAAATAGGAACCGAATAGCGAAATTGAAAATCAAGTATGATGTGCAGTCTGGATCCGCGTAATCCTTGGATTGCTTTGTTTTGGCGCAAAATTCGTAACACTTCAAATTGGAGGTATGGTCGGGGTATATGATAGACTCATTTACTGTGTTTTGTGATTTTTCTGCTATTTTCCAGGAGTTGTAGCTTCGCCTCGGAACGATTCGAATCGGATTTGATAGTTCGCGCACGCTGCACGTTCAGCTAACGAATCTTTAGCGTTGTGAGGCCAACACTTGTATTTATAAATCCCGTGGCCGAGAGTCTCGTCTTTTCTCAGTCGAGAGCCGAACACAGCGCCACCGATTCACCGCCGATCTACCGTCGATTCCCCAAACCACGGCCGACCTTTGTGGCTCGTCGTGCAAACCAGGCAGCACCAACACAAAGAGAAAGGTCGGTCTGCTGCTGCTTCTCTACAATTCTCTACAAAATCCCCTCCACATAAAGAAAACAAATATGAAGTATACCTCAAGTTTAAAAAAAATCGGATTAGGCTTGATAATGTTTTTTAATTAATAAAAGCTCAGATCCTTTTGAATAATTTTAAATGGCATGCTTTTTCGATGTTTCATTATTATTACCATTGTAGTAAAATCTTAAAACTATTTATATACTCATAAATGTATTTAAATTAAAATTTTTGGTTTCCGTACAACTAGGCTTTCAAGGGGCCAATTGAACGCTGACGGCCTGTCGGTGGCTAACCGCTAGTTAACCGCTCGCCTAATGGTACGTCCCGGGCATTTGCCTGCCGCCTGGAAGCGCCCCGAAAATGCTAACGTGACGCTAAATTGCCCGTCCGCCCTCACCTACGGAAAAAAAATAGAAATAGAAAACATAAGTCAGTGATTCCGGAGTAAACCATTGGCTGCCGGCCATGGCTATTTGGGCTGGTCGAGGCTAAAGGGCACTTTTGTTTTGTCTTAGCTTTTCGGGCCTTGCCTCTATACTTCTCTGCAAATTGGGCGCATTACTTTTAACAAGCGTTTTCAAATCGGATGCGGTTTCCATTTGCGTTTCCATTTAAATTTTCATTTGCATTAGCATTGCCCATTTAATATGAAAAAACAAAAACAAAATTTAGGACCGCGCACTCTACCCTGCCAGCAAGTTCGCTGCCTAAGTCTTTTGTTTGACATTTAAAATTTGAAAAGTACAGTGGACAAATGCCGTAAAATTTGGTGATTATTTAAATGAATTAAATAAAACTGAAACTAAATAATGGAGTTTAAGTTTCTGTAGTCCAGGATCAGGATTAGGTTTTTAAAAAGTTTTTTTTTTTTATTTATAAGTAAAGCGGTGCCTATAACAACGAACTTAAGATATGTTTCGTCATTTATTTAAAATAAATTAAATAAATTTAGACTTATGAAACTGAAATAATAAACCAAAAAACAACCATTGGCGTAGAAACTTTTTCCTTTTTTATTTCTTTAAGAGAAAAAGAACCCCTGGCAAACACTATTTAAATCATATTGACCTGATCCAAGTGTCCCTTCTATGGGGATTGGGAGCTAGCAAATTTAGTGTGTGCGTGGGCAGCTACAGTTTCCTTCGCTGGCGGCTTCCAACTTCAATTGCGAACTCCGGCTGACGGACGGAGTTAAAACGGTGGGCAATTTTGGGAATTGCCATGCGAGTTAATTGAGCTCGCTTACCTAATGCTAATGCCAGGCCATGTCCGCGGATTGGGCCCGGGATTTAGCCAGCATTGGTAGTCTGCGTTGGTGGTGTCAAAGTTAACACGGTAGCTGTGAAATTTGGCGCTGAGGAAATCCATGGAAATTACCAACTGATGCAAGCTGCCATTTCCTCATCCATAACAAATTGATTAGGACAGTTTGGCGGCAAAACTAACCAAATAAATAAGTTTATAATTAAGTTGAGGATTTGCGGCAGCAGCATTTGTATCTCTTTAGTATTTCGTTGGCTTTTTTTGTTTTTTGCGCAACTCTGATCGAAGTGCCAACAACTACAACAACAAGAGAGCTACTTATTATAAGTTCCCTGCTTGCAGTTGTTGTTATTTTCGGTACTTTGTTCACATTGTCATTTAGATGTCTGCGTGTTGCTTGTGAAATTGTTGCATTGCATGCAGCATCAAAAGCAGCAGCTTCGGCAACTGCAACAGCAATAATAGACGATGCGATCTGCAGCAGTAAAGGAAAAACATATAAAAAAAAACAACCTCAAGAGTGGCAACATCTTCTTTTCTCTTACCACTATTTATTATTGTATTAGTTTCTATGTTGTGGCTGTTTCAGCGGGATTTTCTTGTTCTTGTTTTTATTGCATTTTTTTTTTTTTTAATTTTTGTGATTCTTGCTGGAAGATGCACAAAAAAATAAGAGGTGGTTATTTTAGGGATATTACACATTAAGAAATAGAAAACTTGCGGGATTATTCCACTTAAAATGGTAAGTATCGACAAAATTGTTTTATTATATAAAATATATAAAACATTTCTTATAGAAATACAGAAAATAACGACGATTATTATTTCAAATAAAATGAACAGACCATTTTAATGTTATATATAGTAAAATCTAGATTTGCGTGTAGAAAAGAATCACCTTAAGAAATAAATATTTTTCTGCGCGATAGTCAACCAGCAATGCAACAGTTATAGGCTAAATCCACTTAAATCAATGATGATGATGACGTGAATGCAGTCTAAGACGATCATGATGGTAGTTCACTTTTTGGCATTTGCATTCAGCGATTCACATTCGACGATGCGGGCTTTTTTCTGTAGTTGCTTGGCTTCGCAATTTTTTCTTCACTTGAAACGACAGTTTTATGCTCTAAATTTTATGTGTATCAGTTTATTGGACATTCAGACTGCCCCTGCAGACGATCAACCTTAACATTTAGCTTATTCAGTTGATATATGTATTTGGAATCGGAATGGAACTTTTTTACCGAAAACATTTTCTGAGATCTTAATTGGCATACTTTTCTGTACAGTTGTTTTGTGACGTTTTTCGTGCCCCTGCCTCATGTAGCTGCCACTGGATGTTAATGAAAAGTTGTCGGACAATGAAATTGCACAATCGTCCATTGTAAACAGAGAGTTAACCAGCAAAGATATCAAACCTGAGGAGAAAGGAATATGCATCATGAAGAGCAGAGCCATTTGACAGGGTTAATGATAGTGGCAGTACTGCGAATAATTAAGGTGTAATTTAGAAAAGGCAAGTGACAATTAAAATTCCATTCCACGAACTACTGTTATGCAGTAGTTACCGATCAGCGTCAAATCCCTCGAATGCTTCAACAGTCGGTTCACATTTTCGGACATCGTCGGTCAACTGAAACCCGGATGAGGGGCTCAATAATATTCAAGTTAATTGGTCTTGGCCAATAATTTGAAATTAATTGGTATGGATGTTCTTCAACCGTCTGGTATGAGACGATTCATGTGTCAAGTGTTATACTATCACGTATAATTTACAGGCCGTATAGCATTTTTATCGTAATTCCTTTTTTTTGGGAGGATGTGTAATCATTTTTTAGTAATAAAGTACTTAAAAGTCTAGACGCTTGTTTGCCTTAAAATTTGGCAATGGCTCCATAATATGAATTCAACTTGTATCAAAAACAACAAATCTCCAGCCGAGATAGCCTATCGCCATCTCTGACTAGACTCAATGTGCAGCACTCAATTATGTTTACCGACCTGCAAGCAACCATAAACGTCGCAGCACTACTATTTATGAATCATAAAGATATGCCCGGCTTAAAAGCGCAAAAGTGCATTCTAAGTGATTTAAATACAATTAAAATACTCTAAAAGAATAGCAAAACGATCTAGAAATTACTCAAGCGAAGCTGCGTCGTGATCAGTCTGGAATAGATAATTACCACATTATATACCAATTTTAGAAGAAGCAGTCCTAAATGAATACATTTAGGACGGAATAGTTTTTCGGTGAGCTCTACAGATTTTTAAGTTTAACCCACAATAGAAAGCCTTTATTCAAATATTTTTCTCGGAAAAACGACTACCAAAATAATTTGCTAATGAGCCTGGTCTCCGGGAGCAGTCATCCATGGATTAGCGAAAGTAGGCCCGGGGTAGGGGAAACGGAATCATGGGTTTTAGAGTGTTTTTTGGCTGACTTTTGACTTGCATTGTTATATGATTTGCGCGGCCTTTTCCTGGTTTTTAATTTTGAATTGCAGCCACAAGTGTTTTGTTTGTATAATCGTGAAAATACCCGGCCAGCGCTTAATGATCGGCTTAAGCTTGCTCCGCCACACTTGTGTGTTAATTTGGACCAAATATATGGACACACTGGACCGGGGTAAGTCCATGCATCAGCGATAATGCCTGAACTGTGCTAGCTGTGCAATAATTTAATGCTTTCCATTCACGCCAAGCCATATCCAAGGGGGAACACACAATTGATATTATAGCATATAATGGGATCTGCCACCTAGCCGCTGCCGACCTTATCGTTATTTATAGACTTCATAGATACCAAACGATCAGATCAATGGGCAAAGAAATATTATTACGCACAAATCAGATGCTTTGGATGGTTGTTTTCAACTCCGACTTCGATTTCGTCACAAGTCAACGGATTACTTTAATAGACGGAGTGGAATCGGGAAAGCGTTGCAATGATCAGACATCAGCTCAGACCCAAAATACATAAGTTGCGAACAATGACAGAGCCGTGAATGAGTGATGAAAAAAAAAAAGATAAATATATTAAAAAAATATAAAAAATAAGAAGCGCCGACATTTTCACACAACAAGTCACAGACACTCAGCCGTCCGTGTAAATTCGTCGACATTAGCCAAGAGAAGCCCCTGGCCCCTGCCCCCTGCCCACCAACTTACCTGGGTGACTTCCCCGTGACACAGCCAGATTCATTTACATTTTGGGCGTGAGAAGAATTTACTGCACAAATTACAAAAATATGTACAAGGGACTCACATAGAGAAGCTCTGCTCCATCGGTTTAATTAGATTATAACTCGCCATAGTTCCACATTTACATCCAGATAGTCTTTGGTATTTGGTATCAGCTCCCAGCCATCTCCTGGCTGACTTAATTTCAATTGCGTGCCAAAAATGGTTATCGCACTGACTGATGATGGCGGCGGGTTGCATAAGTGGGGCGAGGCGGAACTGGGCCCATCATCCATAAAGTGCACTTGCCATAAAGTTCATTTGCCTACTGTCCCAATTGGCAGTTGGCCATGTTAACTTTGGCCACAAGCCGCGTAATTAACTTGTCTCGAAAGATGTTGCGGTTGTGGCGCAGCTCGCTGCGAACTCTTCACACATTATCTGGGATTTATTGGCCATTAGGAAAGAATCTTAAAAATAAACGGTTTTAAAACAAAGCAATAACCGTCGAGAGAACTTTTGGCACAACATTTTGGCGGCTAGGGCTATGAATCATTTAAACTTCTTCTTCTGCTAACTAATATGCTTCTCTTAAAAGCAAGCATTGGAAATAAAAATAATAAAACACTTGTTAAAGTTATGGTTAGATCTTTGTCATCTCTATCATGAGTCTTAACCTACCCAGGAAACTCTTTAAAGTAATGTTAAACTTACAAATAATTACTAGATTTTTAAAACTTTTAGTACTCTGTTAAATATTTACATTTTTTTTATTCTATCCATCCATTTACCGAAAAAAATCTTTTATGCTGTTTTCAGAAAAGGTGGTTTCTATTATTGATTATTATAGATATTTCTTAAGAAAAATTATTATTACTAGTTATAATTATTATACTGCCATCCTATACAAAATAAAGGAAAGTATTTTTACTGCCCTTTGATATTTAATTAGGTGCTATTAAACATTTAAAGTTTCGCCAAGTCTGAGCTCTGTTGACAATGTTGTAACTTTAGCTCGCTAATTTTTTTCAGAAAAAGCCTAAGACAATGACAGATCGGAGATTACAAATGCCCACAATCAAATCATTACCAACATTTTTCTTTAATCTCGAAGCTTTTGTAAATGTATGCAAATTCCAGGTCTTTGAGTGCCAAGGTTTTTTACAAGAAAAACAACAAACTGAAAAGCAATAATCCCTCGGCGAAAGACAACAAAACAACGTCATATTGTTAACGATGTGAAAACTTTGCCAACAAAGACTTTGCCCAAAACAGCGGCAATTAGCTACGCACCCGCACATTGGCGTGTACATCTGAATGAGATGAATGGCCATGGAGCCGAGATTCGATATCTGAAAAAATCCACGGAGATACTACTGACATTTCAATACGAGCGTCCAACTACTCCATTAACACAATTTGTGAGTGGCGACGCGGCTTCTGATTCTTGTAGAGAATCCATCGGCAGCGTCTGGCATTAACCAAATTGCGGGACCCGTGGATAACTGGATTTTTTTCCAAGTCCCAGCGGCAAGCTCACCACCTTGGCATTTCAATCGTAACATGTGCAAAAAGTGGCCGACCAACAGGATGATAGTTTAACCATAGACTCGGAAAAACAAAGTTTAAATATTAATATTTAACAATGGATTCAAGAATGAGCAGTAAATTAACCTGTTTCTGCCAAATTTCGGGATACATTGTTTTTGAGGTTTAAAAGAAGAAAACGTGAAATATTTATCAGTGCAATGACACAGCTAAATTTTCTTAATAGAAAAAAAACCGCAACAAAAACGTAACTAAAAAGCAAGAGACATGGAATCACAAATTAAATGTTAATAGTAATAAGCCGGACCACATTGGAACGGTGGCGACGAAGAAAACCGGATTTGTGGCAGAACAATGTACACATAAATCTAGCGTCAAAACATAAATGCAATTCACCCAAAGAGAATGAGCTATTGCCAGGGATTAGTCTCCATCATGAGCTGGTGAACTGCAGAGCTGGGGAGCTGGTGTACCTGGCAAAAACAAAACACCAAAAAACCTGCTGCTGCGCCAATAATAAAATCAAATCTTGACATTGTGTGACAGAGCCCCACTTAATGCCCTGGCGTAGAAAGGAAGCTGGACCGGATCGGGTTGGATTACATCGGATGGAAGCTGAGAAAGGCCGACCGACTCCTACCGACCAACACGCATATAAAGTGACAGGTTGCACAACAGTCGAAGACGAAGATTCCATCCTACCGCCACCTGACGTGCGGTGAAAGTTAATTTGGCAAAAAATATGTAGAAAAATTATGAAATGTATTTTCTTTTCGGTTGCAGCCGCAACAGTTCCGCTGGCATTGTCTTTTGCCGCAGACCGCCACAGTGGCAAGATGCAAGTATCAAGCGGAAACGACAAAAGGTTGTGCCATCCAATAGATTAATACATACATACATTCCAAATGGAATCAGGAAGAGCAGATAAGCCGCTAAATGGTACAAACAGATAAGGGATGTTACTCCCGGTGTCATGTTATTTGTAAAAACAGTTGAATAAATTCTTACAACGCTAAAATAAGCAAGCACATAATTTTATATGAAAAAATTGTAATACAAAAACTGGACCTACGGTCGCTCCCCACTGCTTAATCTCATTCATTGTGCACCATTTTAGACAACGCAGCTGGCAATTGCATGCTTTGGGTGGGGGCACCTTGAAGGGGCAGCAAATTGGCGACCGACAGGCATTTCTCTGCCATTGTTCGGGCCAGGTGGCAGCCGAGAGTCTAAACTATTTTAGAAAGGTCCAAACCAGCCGCTCAAGTGATTTAGCGAAAGGTTTTTAACTCTATAACACGATCCTCAACAGTCACCTTATAAAGACACGGACACAGGTTGGCTCAGTAAGGTCTAGACATTTATTAAACCGGCCGGAGACAGCTCTTGGTTGGGTATCATGTACTTTTCTTGGAGCACACTACAGATTATGTTTATATTTGAAATATGTTTCATACTTGTTGCAACCAAATCACTGGGTTTGGTTGTGGCTTTAGGGAGTAAATAGATTATTTTTGCTTTCGTTAATCAAGTGAGAATTATTTGGAGTCACCAGCCGAATTGGCAGAGGACTTGGTGGCTGCTTTGATGGTCGCGCTTGAAGTACGCTTCACACTGACCACGACATTGCGTTTCGTGGAAGCCGGACCAGGTTTGGTTATTTTGACAGGCTGCTTGGGCGTGGCTTTCTTTACCGGCTGTTTAACTGCCTTGCTTGGGGTGACGGGGGAAACAGCGGGTTTCTTTTCTGGTGACTTGGTAACCGGTGCGGTTTCTTTTTCTGCTTCCTCTTCGCCATCGCCATTGGCTTCCTCTTTAGCGTCTTTCAACTTGTTTTTCTCACTTGAAAAAAAAAAAATAATGTTGATTTTTCCGAACACAAATAGTATGTCTTAATATAAGCTTACCTTTCAATGTCAATGTTGAGCACAGACTCGTCCTCTTCCTCCTCTTCTTCCTGATCGACTTCAGCCAAAAGGTCCCCTAGGTCCTTGTCGACTGCTTCCCACATATTTTCATCGTTAGTGTCATCTGGGTGCTCTCCATCACCATACTCCTCTTCGTCGTCCTCATCTTCATCGATTTTGGCATCAATCTCTTCATCGACCTCTGGCTCGTCATCTTCGCCCTTTTTCTCATCGCCCTCCTGATCGTCCTCTTCGGTTTCCAACGATTTGTTTTTCTTCTCGTTTTCATCCTTTTGACGCAGGAAGGCCTTTACATGGGAATGCGACAAACAGTGCTTTTTGGTGTAATCCTCTAGAGAAATGTCACCAACTTTGCCAGAATAGTGATTGCACAATTCGCAATAGAATGCTTCAATGGATTTGATGTATTCCGGGCCAATAAGGCCGCGCTTGCGAGTCTCCTCGTCAGTGCTCTTTAAAGCGTTCTCTGCCTCGACCACCATGGCGTCCACATCGGCGTCCATTACGTCCACATCTATTTCACCTACTGAGTCTACGGTCATAAACTTATTCAAATCGATCTCCCGCTCATCCACACTGTCATCCGATCCGGACTCGTCATTTCGGGCCTTGTTCTGTAACCAAAAAATTTTATTAATAGGGAATTAAATACAAAAAAGGTTAAAGAAATATACCCGGATGTGATCCAGAGAACAACGATGGTTTTCATAGAGCATGGCGTTCTTAAAGGCCAAATGACATGAGCCGCAGTAAGGCATCAAAAACTTTTTGATGGTCTTGTGATGCTCAGATGCCTGGTGAAGATTTTTGGGCTGGCGGTAAGCCAAACGGCAGAGGCGGCAATAGCGCGACTCATGTTCCTCTTTGCTGTTCTCCTCAATTTCGCGCTGGGTGGTGCGCTGGCGAGCACGCATACGTTGCAGATCAGCGCGCTGGTTTAGAGCTACTTGGCGCATGGAGTTCTTATGGGTACGGGAGTTTAAGTGGTAGTTGTACTCCTATAGATCAAAACGAGCTCAATCAGAAAAGTTTAAAGAGATTCCAATAAAAAAAAAAACCCACCTTAAAAGTAACACACTTGACGCGACAGTGAACGCAAATTAGCTTGATAAAAGTGCGTTTGCGGCTTGAGTTGTGGTCATCATCGCGATGACGTGAGTTGCGACGGTCCTTGCTCCGCTCGTCGCCTGAATCGTCCATGCGCGAAGAACGGTCCTTCTTGGCGGAAGACGAGGACTTCTTCGACTTGGAATCCTTCGAGTCACCGCTGTCTTTATCTTTCTTCTTACCTGAACTCGAAGACTTTTCGGCGGCGCTCGAGGATTTGGGCTTCTCTTCGGACTTATCACCATTACCGGCTTCGTCCTCGCCCTTTTCCTTGTCGCCGTCCTCGTCATCGGTGGCTTCATGCTTGGCGCTCTTGGCATCAGACTCATTATGGTCGTCCTTCTCGTCATCATGGTCGTCATCTCCATGCTCATCGTCCTCGGCATCGCTTTTATCATCTTTCGATTCTGACTTGAGGCTGCTACGCTTTTTACCCGGCGATGATTTCTTACTCTTTTCGTCCTTATTATCGTCTTCATCGTCATCGTCATCATCATCATCATCATCATCGTTATCGTCATCGTCGCCATCATTGTCCTTGTCTTTGATTTTCTTTTTCTTGCTCTTCTCAGCATCGCCATCCTTCTCCTCATTGTCACTGGAATTGTCACTGCTATTCCCTCCCTGGCGTTGGCGCCGCAACGAGCTATATTTTGTGAGGAATGAATCGAATTCGAATTTGAAGTCATGTCAAGGTGTTGAAGATTGGTATTTTTGGAATATATTGCCGGCTTAAGCAAAGGCAAATTCAAATCGCGTTTTACTAAAAAGCTGGTTATAACTAACTAATTACTGTCACTACAGTGTTGGGTGTTGATTTTTATAAGTAACTTTCAGTTCAATCTACTAAATACACAATAATACACACAAATCTATTAATTATTTAGACCAGTGGCTCATTCTTCATTTTGTCCATCTGTCATATAGGTGCATATCAGTCTCACTGACATCTTTTCAATAAACATTGGGTACACAATAGATAAACGTAACATCAGCTGACATTTGTTCGCGGATAAACTCAGATTTGGTTTTGTATTTGGGATTGTTCGTATTTGATTTGATTTGAATTGGTTCTTATTCTTTTGTCTATTTACCTTTTCAGCTGCTGAATCTTAAGCAGGCGGGCCCGGTCTTTCTGCTGAGCATAGAGCAGTTGACGGCGCATGGTACGCAAGTCATTTGACTCGTTGACCCTAGTGCGCACTACGCGCATGCCTCCCACCCGCATTCCGCTGCGCATCATTCCGCCGCGCATGTTCATGGTGCCCCGTGGTCGGGATATATAACTTGTGCCCGCCACGCTGCGAAGCATCCGCTTGGGCGGACCCATCGATCCATCCCTCTGATGGCGGCTGCCGCTGGTAGAATCATCGCGCTGGCGGTACGTGCTGGAGCTTCCTCCACCGCCGCCGGTGCTGCTGCGATGTTGATAATTCGATGAGGAGGAGGATCCAACGTTCTGCGATGAGGACGAGGGACGATCGCTGCGATCATTCGAGGAGGACGTGCGACGGTAATCCTATGACGATTGATGAGTAGGAAGGTGTGTAGGAGCATTGATTTGATTTGGTTTCGATTTTGATTTTCGAACAAAATTGGTACATATTTATAAAACATAAGGAATTGCTATATTTATATATAGTAATAAATAGTATTACATTTTTGATTCTGATTGATTTGTGGGTCATATAGCAATATACTGTTATATGCTGATCCTGCAGCGTGTATGTGTGTGGTAGCATGATGGAAAAACCTTAGACGCTTATACGCTTAGCTATTTAGATTTGGATCGAGATCGATAACACATATGCCGATGTACACACTGACAAATATATTATTATTATTGTTATTATTATCTGTGCTCGCTATATGGGGACAAATTTGACTGGTGATAAAATACAAGAGATAATAGATCAAAATCGTATCAATCGCTTCAACGTTTCTATATAGAAGTTTTTGCTTTCTCATGTTAATCTGAATTTCGGCTGCACTTGATCAGATCAGATCAGATCGGTGCGGTTTGGATCGGATCATATCGATCTTCTTCTCTACTTTGTCGATGCTATTGGGCAAGACACAGATTTATCGGATTTGTATATAACACACCACTTATATGGTAAACGGTTATACGGTGCTCCAAAGTGCTTATCTGGCCACTTTGAGTCCGCGCTGTTTGCTGTCTCTTAAATTTTTTTTGGGACATGGTATGCTTTAACGCTCTATAGGCTCAACTCAAATCCCGCGTTTGAGCTTCACAAACAGTGCTATAAATATGTGAAGAGTCATTAACATTACAAAGTACATGGAGCATGGCTTAATTGCATATTTATACAAAAGAGACCTTTGAATTATCGTTCATTTAGCATTGGAAAGGATAATATTTAACTTACGTCTTGGCGCGGGCGTTTGCGGTCGTCGCTGCGGTCACGAGATGAGTCCTAAATACATTAAAATAGAATTCATTATGGTTTGTATACACAATGCCACAAATACACTATAAAGTACTGATGGAAATGATTCAAAAATGGGATTTAAAGAGAATTATGCTTATCTGTGTGGTTTTTTTTTTGAGAGTGCAAACTATTTCTTCATAGATTTAATTTCAATCTCAACTGTGATTGAACTGAGGCTAGTTATTCCATATTTTAAAATTAGCAAACGATTTTAAAAGTTGTTTTCCGTATTCCTACTCCGACTTGTTTTTATATTTGGACTGCATCGCAAATAAAATTCTTACATACTTATCAATTTGATTTGCATTTTATATATTCCATTAAATACATACATATATATATATTTCAGTGAGATCAAGCCCAAACATTCTGTGAGCATGTATGTATGTATAAAAATGAGCTGCCGTAAATAAAAAAGTAATATACATACATGTAATGTAACATGTATATGTATGTTTCTTCTAGCATTTTCTCAACTTAAATATACAATTTTTAAATTTCCAGAACTTTGTAGTATACAGTAATTTTTTGCAACTCACGTAGCTTCGCTTGTGGCCCGAGCTGGATTCGTAGCGGCCACTGCTGCTAGAGTTATGATGGGTAAACTTATCCCTGCTTCGGTTCTCGTAGTGACTGTTACCGCCGCCCCCGCCCCCACCACCGCTGTAGCGGTTGTTATTGTTGTGGTAGTTGTTCTCGTACCGCCCACCGTTGGGGCGGTAGTTACCCTGGGTGCGGGTGTTCACATAGTTGCTGGAGTTGCGATTATTATAATAGCCACCACGAGTGGTACCACCACCACGTGGAATAAAGCCGCCTCGTCCGCGCATTTTTGTGTCTATAAAAATAAATGAAAAGATGCAAGAAAACTATTATTAAATCAATTTGTCACGCTCCGCACCTAATATACACAAACGTATGCACATATGTATCTGGTAAATATATGTTTTTATATATACATATGAACATATCCTGTGTCTAGCGCAGCACCCCCCGGCAATGCGAAAAAAATTTTCTCTACCGGTAGCGTCACTTGGGTCGTACAAAATCGATAATGCCGGTCCAACTTTTCGCAGATAAATGCATGCATATACTATGCTGCTTACCTCTTGTTTGATGGGTTTCTAAAGTTAAAACAATTTGTCACTAGCTTAACGTTGATGTGTCAACTTGAATTGCACGTTTTGATATTTTTTTTCACAAATTTTTTTCAGAGCGACTTCACTTTTACTAGACGACTTTGAAAGAGAAAAAATTTGTAATGGCGAATGACTAGTCGATGACAACACTGATATTCGATGTTTTTTTCAGTTCTCTTTATCGATGTTTTTACGGCTCTTTTCAGCACTAGATGCTAATATATATTATTTCGATTTCAAAGGTTTTATTCGTTTTTAATATATTGTTTTGAATATTAACAGAGGTGTGAAGGAAGTAACTATGAAATTACTTCTCTCTTATGAATCCCGCTTCTCCTTGTTAGGAATGAAGTTACGAATCAACGTTCTATTAAGCGAAAGTGTGTTGGAAAACAGGCGCGAAATAAGTATTTGGTTACGTCGATCGCAACACTAGGCAGCTAAAAAAAGCGGGATTATCAATATTTGGACAAATTTAAGAATAAATTTGAAAACATAGCGAGAAAAAATGGAAACGCCGACGGGTAGTGGGCACCCACATCGCCCCACCCGCACGGCAACGCCGCGCCTCTCGGAACGCAAGCGCCAACTATTTAGCAGTCTTGTCTCCAAACTGCGAAAGATCCCTGACGAGGAGAATGGAGACACGGATACACTTGGCGTTTCACCTTTAAAGCCTCACGCGGCTGTTAACAGGGACAGGCGGAGCCTTTTTGTGCCCAACGAGTCGGAAGGAAGCTCTGGGAACTCCAGCAGCCCAGAAACCAACAAGGAGAACAAAAGATTGACTCGTGGCGTCTTAAAAGAAGGAGAAGATGGAGGTGTAGTCGTGGCTGGAACCGAGGAGCACCTGCCGCTCTTATTTACTACGACAATGCGTCTGAACAGCTTCAGTAGCAGTAGTCACAACAGCAGTCCAAAGACACCAAAGAATCACAAGCAGCAAGCGGATTCCTCCATGTCGTCGCCCTCAGAAGTCGAATCCTCACCAAATGTTGTACTAAGAAGGTCGAGTAGACGAAAGACGCGTGCCTTCAAAAAACAACTGTATTCTGAGGACGGGGTGATTGTGATCAAGGATTCCTCGATCCAACCTTCAAAGCAGGCTAATACCTTGGAATCAGCTTTGAAACCAATTAAGAAAAGTGCCAATAAGGAGGCAGGAAAGGTGAAAAGTATTGCCGTGGAAACCCAAACATCAAATTCTTCAACTCGGTTTGCTAAGAGCAGCCGTGAATCTTCCGTATGTGTTATTGAAACAGCTCAAGGTATCCCAGAGATCATCAAAAGTCGCAGTAATAGTCCAAAATTATTTCTCGAGATACCAAAACTGGATACGGAGAATGATTTGAGGGCGCAAAAAACTCAAAAGCGCATTGCTATGACTCCAACCTCTAGTGATTCTGACTCAAGATCCCCACAGAGCAAGCTGCCAAAGTTAAACCTCGAGAGCAGCATTCCTACAATGTCGTTCTATTCTCAGAGAAAATCCGGTCCTTCAGATACCATGCACTCTGTCAGCACTCCCAAAAGTTCAAAGCGTTATGAAATAGTGAAACCGAAGGCTCGGACGTCGCCAACTTCCCGACATCGTTTGAATATTAACAAGGGAGTACATCACAAGATACGAAAAAAACCATTGCTTAACCGAATGGCCCACACCGATCTGAATCACATCCTCAAATCGCTTAACAACGAGAGGCTTAGAAACCTGATAACGACTAAGCAAGAAGAGCGTGCAAAAGTAGAGGAAGTGCATCAAATCCTTCGAAATGCTCGCGATCCTATTAAGATGGCAAAACCGCTCAGTGTGATATCGGCTGACGATGCTAATAACAATAATAACGTATGGCAGCAGATCGAGGACGATTTCTCGGACCTCAGCGATGAGGAGACAAAGCAGACGAGCATAGAACTCGAGGCTATGGAGCCGATCATTCCGCTGATTCGCCACGAAGCCCCCAAAACCTCACCTGCTTCGGAGACCGTGGACTTAAGCAAGCGAAAGTTCTTCAAATCGGGACGCCGGAGTAGCACCTGCATGGAGGTCAAGATCACGGACAATATTCGAGCCAGCGTGAGTCAGGGAAAGATAGCATTGATCCAGGCTCCACGCCGAAAGCCGAGAGGAGTGCGAGTGAAATCAGCAACTATATTCTCCGCAGAACAAGCCACCGTAGATGCGATCCTTAAGAATCTAGATGACTCGGTGGTCGGTGATATTGTCGAATCTGAGCCCATGGATACGGAGACTGCCCCAAAAGTCATTGAGTATATTGAACCCTTGGTTGAAGCCGATTTTAATCCATTTTCTGCCTTTCGTGACCGATTGCCCTTTCAAACTGATGACCCTCAGATAATCGAACAGCAGAAAATCTTATTGGAGTTCCTCATTAGTAACAACATCTGCAATGAGGAAAACTTTAGGATTTTTATTGAAGATCCTGATAATCATAAAGAGGAGGCCAACAAAATAATAGATGAACTGTACATGGTGGTGAATAGCGAGGAAGCAGCACTCGCGGGTATGTTGGCCGAGCCAACGGATTTGCCTCAAGTGGAAACGTTGGATTCACCAATAGATACGGAAGAACCTCACGAAGAAGCAGAATCACATGGTTTTCAATCCACACAAAAAGAACCTTCCAGAAATGAAGCTGGGATCCAGCCTAAGCTTTTTCCAATTTTTACGCAGCGATTGCAGCCGGTTATAAAACCATCAACTCGTCGTAGGCCGGAAACTTACACAAAACTACTTATGGCGGCAGCTGGTGGAACCAATCAGTACCAGATCGACGCTGGTCAGAAAGCTTTTGGGGCAAGGCAATGCCAACAGTGCGGCTTAGTTTACACTGTTCACGAGCCGGAGGAGGAGCAGCTGCACCGCGACTATCATAACTCGATTCATGTGTTGAGATTTAAGGGCTGGATAGATGAGGATATTGTAGCCGTTTACCCTGATTGGTCTAGTGACGCTCGGATTATACGCATAAACGAAAATGCACCGTTAGCTCGGCTGGATAGGCTCAAGGAACTCATCGGTGTGGTAGACAAGGAGCTAGGATACTCGTCTTATATTGTGCCGAAGGTTTTCGTGGCCTTCCTGGCTGTACGTAAGCAGCAAATTGTGGGATTCTGCCTGGTGCAGCCCCTATCCCAGGCCCACCGCTTCATCCACGTCGATGGGACGGATTACTTTAGCGAGGAGACCTATGAGGCTAAGTATGAACATGTTTTTTTTTATTTTTATTTTTGTTAAATTTTTTTTATGATTCTTTTAGATGCGGTGTATCCCGAATATGGGTTTCTCCTTTGCACCGACGTTGCGGGATTGCCAGTAAACTACTCCGAGCCGTTCAGTGTCACACAGTGCTTGGCCAAGAAATTTTGATGGAGCACATAGCTTTTAGTACACCAACGGATGATGGACGAGCTTTAGCACGGAAGGTTACCGGTTTGGATAACTTCCTTACCTACGATCAGTGACCTGGAAAACACATAGCAAAATGGCTATTGAATAGCTGGATTACTTTCTAATTTCAGACCTGTAATAGTTTTTAATTTTTTCAATGCGAGATTGGATATAATTTCTTTGTTTTCAATGGAGGAGCCGAATGTCTCCAATAATATGCAATACATTTATTTTGATATATTTGTTTTTGATAAATGTGTTTTAAAACCAACTAATATTTCAGACGTATTTGGTAAAAGAGGTAGGTAAAGTTCTTTAAATCTTAATACATAACTAAACGATTTTTCTGTTAAAAAAATAGGATTCTGTAAAATCAGAACTATGTTAAAAGTAAATTTAAGATTTTCAAAATGTATCGAGATTGTCCCAAGAACAGACAACGTGTCAAATCGATAAATTCAAATTGCAATCGATATCTTTGTTATAGAACTGTGGTTCATCTCTAGATTTGTGAGCCAGGCTTTGGGCGTTGTTTTCGTTGCTGTAAAGTAGTAGAAATTTATGAATAAAACCGACTTACTATATCTGAATGGGACTTGCGCCAACATTCCGAAACGGAAACAGTGTGCATGTGGTAAGTTTAATCGAAATACATTATTTTATGAATGATAGCTTTCGAGGCTGGTCAATTGCTTAAATGACGCCGCCACGCCCAATGTGACAAATTGGTTCTGTAAGTGGCTTGGTGGTGGTTGCAACAACGTTTCTTAGGCTACCATTGTTCTTTTGTTTGCAGAGCAGAAAGTATTGAGTGGAACCCTTGAAGTACCACCCCATCCATAAAAGCTATGTCAACAATCGAAGAGGAGCGTAAGGCGTACGAAAAGAATCCCTACTTCACCGGGCATATTTATGGCAACTTCTCACCTTTTTATGTGACCATTGCCATTTGCACAGTTATTCTAGGCTCTATTATCATATTGAACATTATCCTTGGCTGCTGCTCCAAGCATCGAAAGTACTGGCAGGACAGGCATACGGGAAACCGTTGGTTAGTTTCCATTTGGTCCGCCACACCACACAAGCAGCCACCTCTAGATTTCACCGAGCTTAAAGAAGCTTCATACTTTCAACGTTTTCATGTATGTTTTCATAATTTTTTTGGTGATGTTTTAGTAGCTTAAAAACTCTTATTCTCTTTAGCCCACCACGCACCAGCAGGTGTTCCCTGACGACGTCGTCATTGGCGTTGACGACTTGGAGCCCGTTCATCAGCATCAGCGTCCACCACGCCCCGAGGGCCGCACCCTACACCAGCAGCGCCAACGCGAAGAATACGTTGAGTTGCAAAAGCGCGAAAGCGATATTTAATCAGCAATGGCTCTCTACTTCCTTTACCCAGCCGTGGCCGCCTTGGCTCTTTTTATAGTTGGAGTGATCATCATCATGCTGCGTTATGGTCCGCGTTTGTGTGGTTTACGCCACCATGCCCTGCCGGACAATGACGACCTACGCGAGAAGACATATGAGCACGAGATAAGCTATGCCTAATCGAGTTCTCCATTTTATTTTTTATATATTTACATTCCGGCAATGTAGTAAATTGCTTTTCAATATCCATCCCTCGCTAACCCTTTAGTCTGTAAGCACCTACTAACCATCTGCACCCATGGTTAATTAATTCGCATACAGTACAAAAAGCCGTTTTCATTTTCCATTTGAAACCAATGTGCCTTCCCGAGAAATATATATGCCGTCCAAGTGTCTTAGTGTTGTAAGATACAACTGTAATTCAATGTTCGTTACTCTTTTAATTTAAAAAACTTAAAAATCCAATATTTGTAACTCTCAGTATATGCAAACTCTATACATTTGTATTCGTTCCGTTTTGAACTATATATTTCTTTTTAGACAACTTTAAATAAAGCTCAAATGTATAACCCCGAATTTCATTAACTATCGTATTGAAATCAACGGAAAGTAAGTTCTAATTAAATTTAAAGGCACTATGAGATTGATAAGTAAATGTCTGCTTTAGAACATAGTTCATTAAACAAATGCGAGACAAAATTTCATATATCTGACCAACAGCCGGACCCGGAACATAATTCGATGACAGACATCGACGTGAACCTAATGGATTCCACCCGTTTTTGGATGTACTTCGGTTTTTCTCCTGATTTTAAAATTGCATTTTTTCTTTTTGTTTTTCTCCCTTAGAGTAAGCTTAGTTGTCGACATTCATAGTTTTTTTTTTCATCGGATAATCTTTTGTTCAGATCAGACGCTTATTCGGCATCTTCAACTTGAAAAACAATAGTATTCCCCTCTTCCTTCGGTTTCTTGGGCAGGTCATCGCCGATTTAGCAAAACTTTAAAGAATAAATTAAAGATCACTGGTCTGTCGCTACAATTCTGAAAATATGTAAGGAATGTTCTGAAATTTACCAGCAAAAACTAAATATATATTTTGTCTAGCCACAGTTGGTGGACATATTTATACAACTCAATAGCATAATCTGAGTTTAAGTGGGTCAATCGCAGCCATAAAAATTCCATGTCATAGACGCTCGTCATAGAGGGTATTGCATAGTTTACTTGTCCCGCTTGTAACTAGCTTATTCATCGGCTTAACCGTATTTTAAATTCAAACATTCAAAACTATTCGTGTTTTGTTAGTATTAATTGTTAGATATATTTTCTATCTCTCAATTTTACAACAAAATTTCAAAAATAATTATTTTTAAGCGCAATAAGCTATACAACAATCCAATTTAATAATCTTACTTAAATAAACTTAATGTAAGTAGAGTGCATTCGAGGGTTTATATAAATACAAAGCAAGTAAGTATAAACTATTATGGAAGGAAAATTATTTTTTTTTTGATGCCCTTTTTGGGTGCTTTTGAATATGTCTTTCTGCTTGTTTTCCTGGAGCAGTCAAGTCATAGCGAAATATTATGCAACGGCGGTCAAAGAAACTCTTCAGGTCCTTGGGATCAAAACGGTGGCCCATCTGCTTGAGGTGCAAATAAACTTCCTGCAAATCAATGGGTTCGTACATGAGAACACTTTCGTACAGGTGGGAGTTTGCGCAAAGAAGATTGTGCCAAGCAATGTGCAGTGGCACCAGTGGCTGCGAAGTCTTTTTGGTGACGTTTGTTTGCAAAACATAAAACTCGAAATCGTCGCAGAGGCTGGGTGTCATGGATTGCGAAAAGCGTAGAAGTTCCTCTCCAGTGGCATTCTTAAACTTAAAGTTATTTCGCGTCTCAGTTGGTGTAAGGCAGGCTTCATGGGTTGATTCACTGAAGTAATTACAGTATTTAGAAATATCCTTTATCACTGGGGAAGATTTAGACCTAAACAAAGGCGCTTCCCTGGGTGGAAAGTCTTCAGCAAAGGTTGCCTGCATTATTGGATGGGTTTGATTGTATATAAACTCTAGCATTTTGACCGCCTGTTTTCGCTTAAGAGGCTTCATGCCATAGTTGTACAGTTGTTGCAAAATCTGCGCCTCTGGTAAGGCGGCAAAATCTGGCTTGGGCGTGGGACAAGCCCGTACGTTGTACATATTTCCTTCAACCTCCAGCTGCACATTAAAAGAATCTTTCTTTGGAGTTCCCGAAATACCAGGTAATTTAATTTCACCTATAAGCAAACTATCTAGTCCATTGGGCATGGAATCTGTTGTATCTTTAGACTTTTGGAACACGAGCTGATCAAATTCGTCAAAGTCGTTGTCTGACTCACTTTCCGGACGAGTAACTCTATTGAAAAGATCATCAAATTTATGAATGCTCTTGCGGGCTAAAGGCTTTACTGGTTCATCTAAGAACGAGGCCTCTGACCAGTTGATGTCATTATAAGAAGGCGATGGCTGCTTGGAGGGGCTCAAAATTTGCGAAAGAAATAAAGGCTGAGATGGAGCTGCATCAAGAATACCAAACTCAGCGCGCTCCTTACTTAAAATGCTCTTGTTTGGCGATCGTGAACTTTTTGATCCTCTCTTATCCCCCGGAAAATCCATAAGAAAGGCATCCAGATCATCTTCCGTTTGAAAGTGCGGAAGTGCACTCTTTTTAATAATAGGCGAAGAGAAACTGTCAGAACTGGCTTCATCAAAATCTTGGATTTTTATTGATTTATTGGCCTTCCAAATGGAGTAATTGATTTCCTCATCGGAGAGTAAGATCGCCTCGTTTTCATCACTATTGTTTAGGGTCAAATCAATACTAGCATCAGAATATTCACATGGTGATGGAACTCCATTCTTTACTGGGGAATTTATTTTCCAGTTAAGCGGATTCTTGAAGCTTTGATCGTTAGAAAAGCTAACATTCCTTTTTAAAGAGTTTCTTGAATTTAATTCACTAAATCTTTCTTTCGTGTCGTTTAAACTGGAATGAACTTTATCCAGTTGGAATGATAAATTATCCATGCTGTGGAAGTCGCTCTCAAAATCCAAAAAAATATCCTCTTTATCTTCTACCAAAGAAGCTTGTTTATCCATTTTCGCATATTTCATGTACAGTTCTTGCGAAATAGGACAGAATTCATTTTCGTCATTTGAATCCACAGTTAAAATTTTACTTTCATCAAAGACTCTAATATTGTCCTTTAATTCCGGATTATCCTCATTCAAGTTTTTGCTTATATCAGTTAAATCATCTAAAGAGTGATTTAGAAAAGCTGCATAATCAATGTTTCCTTTATCGTCACTAGTATTTTTCTCTTCTGTAACTTTTGTAACAGTCTTTACTAAAAAAAAAACGTAATATAAATATTTAAAAAACATTTTTATAACATCAACATTTTTACCTTCATCACTAGAACTAGAAAATATTTCATAAGATGTGATTTGTGAAAAGTCTTCTAACTCTTCCACCAAAGGTGAGGGTTCACTAAGGCTTATATTTTTGTAGACTTTTAGAGAAAAATCTTTAACATCAGGGGCTTCATTTGACAAAGAGGATTCAATAGGTTCTGAAATTAAGCATTCATTTTCGCTAAAATTATTGAGGTCTTTATCGCAAAACTTTTTAAAATTCTGAGATTTATTTAAAACAGTTGCAGTTGCTACATCAGGTTCCTCATCTGAATCGGCAAAGAGGTCGGGAGAAGTGCATCGTGTAATTTGGCTTGGAGCACCTGAGCAAGTTGAAATTAAAGATTTATTTTCTCTATCCTCTTTCACTATTTTTGGTCGCTTATCTGGCGGTTCTTTCAAGGGACTGCTACTGGTCGAGGAAGCATCCATCCTCGAGCCACCCTCGATCATGTTTTCAGCGACTAGCTTTTCCAGTTCATTTAGCTCGTTGCCTACTTCCTGCTCTAGTTTTAACTGATCTTCAAAATGTTTTTCCAGTTCTATATAAACTAAATCAAATTGCTTCTTTAGCTGGCGACATTTTGAAGTCTCACGTTCCGGGGACAAGTCTCTTCCTTGTATTGCATTCCAATTTTTTAACAGGTGATTGGCAGGCATATAACTAATTTCCATTAATTCGGTTACATAGTATAAGCTCATATCAGGTATACTACCTTCGCTTGGCTCATGAAGGATATGCGAGTTGGCGTGGGGTTTTAAGCTTAAAAGGGATGAGCTTATTAAATCATAAGGCGGTATCCAACGGGATTTTTCAAGTAATTCATTGGTTTGTACTTGCTGCGCCAAAAAATTTGATACCTTTTCCTCCAACTTCTTTTGTTGAACTTTGGGATTTCGCAGAGTCAGAGCAGTGAATTTATTTGCCCACTTGCTACGTTTGCTCAATTTGGTAGCAACTACAGGAAGGACGGCCAGGGACTTGTAATCTGTAAACGAAAAAAAAAATCTAAGCATTGCAAATTAAAATATTACTTAATTTGACTCACCTTCTTTTCTCGCCGTGCGAAAACCGTATTTCTCAAGCTTTCGTCGAATTTTCTCTGTGGATATTTCGGAATTAACTTCAACGAAATCAACCACTGCGTCCTCCTCATCATTTGGGCTTAGTCCTTCTTGCTTCTTAGCCTCAGACTTGGACAGCGCCAGGGCCATCTCGATGTCGTCCGGGCTAAAGTTGTCTGCAATGCAATGCTGAGCTGTTACTTCTGAAAACATTTTTTCGTTTCGAAGGAAGTGTCTAATGCTGGGTTGCTTTTTGCTGCGACTGCTTCCCTTTCGAGAGCTTCCCGAAGTACTCCCCTTGAGCTTGGGTGCCTTTTTGGGTTTGGGACCAGGGTGTTCAAAAACGTTGCTTGCTCGAATTGGTATGATTTTGGAGGAAGAATTATCAATATCCATGGGAATGGGAGAAGCCTTCTCTTTTGAAGGATTACCCTCAGAGGGATCCTCGGGTGTTGCAAAAAAGTTTGACAAACTTAAGGTAGCATTGCTATTGCGTGTCGATCTTCGGTAAAAAAAAAAACAAATTTTTATGTTAGATAATATTATTTTATTGATCATCCACTACTTCATATTGAAGTAGAATTACCGAAGTTTGCCTGAAGCTTGTTGCAACTTTTGGAAGTTGGCCTTCCGCGTCTTACGATCCATTATTTGGTATTCTGCTCCTCACTCTCCTTGATCGCGTCCTTGATAAATTGAGAAGTGCGCGGAGCTGCGAACTCGAAGAGCCCTTTTCTATCCCGTTCCTGTTCCGTTTGAGCCAAAGCCTCGGATAGTTTTTTGTTGGCAATGCGTTGAATAGGAGTCAAACTATTATGGTTAAGACGTGTTTAGCATCAGTTACATTAGAATTTATTTTTATATTTACTTCCAAATTCCGAAGAGCACTGTTCCAGCGGCTAATAGTGCATAAGCAAATCGGTTGCGATACGCGTAGGATGGAGTGCCAAAAGTGCGTCTGGGCTTCCGTTTAGAGGTATTAATAGAATCCATTACTGCATTTATCTCGAAATTATATAAGTACAAACATTTTGGACGCGATGGGATAAGAGTTCAGAATCAATCAAACCGGTGTTCTGTTAGGGTTGCCAGGCTTTACAAAGTAAAAAAAGCGTAGCACACTAAACAAATCTGTGGATGCGAACGATTAAAATGAACAAATAAATTCATAAATATGTTATTTATTAAATCAATATTTTTTTTATTAAACTATTTTACTTTTGTAATGGTATTATTATTATATTAACAGCTGTTATATTGCACCTGTCCATTTCAGTTTTCCAACACTCATACCCCAAAACGGTCTGCAACACTAAAACGTATATGCGTAATTAACTATAATTATTTGTCCGCTGGAAACCATATAGTTTCAATCTAATTCGAGCATCTATAAAGTGCAGTTCCGTGTGCATGGAACACTGCGCATTTTCATAACAAAATCGAAACCAAGCTCTAAGTGGAGTGTGAAACTGATAACTGATACACCACTACAACGACAGCCCACGCAGCAACTATACCAACAACGGCATTAGACAAAGGGTACTAGCCTAAGTACAGTAAACAAAAACAAAACCAGCCAGATAATAAAAAGCAAAGCCACATCAAAAAACAAGAGTTCAACTCATACACACAACGGGAAAGAGACCACACAACAATCCATATTTCGCAGAAACTGCGAAAACAACTGTTGAAAGAAATCAGCAGCAACAAGAAAAAATTTTCCAAACTCGATAAATCATTCATATTTTAATACGCCCTTTTCGGAGTGGTGGTCAGTACTGGATAAATCAGCGATCTAGAAAGTAACGATGGCGCGCGAAGACGAGGAACGCATTGTGGCCAACGAGGAAAATGAAGAAGAAGGAGGCGGTCAGCAGGGACCGGGGCGTGGCGTCCGACAGGATAATGAGCTCGCTCTACCCTCCGGCGGCTGTTGCATGCCCACAAGCAAAAGCCACCGATTCATGGCCTTAGTTTTTATGTGCCTACTTGGATTTGGTTCTTACTTCTGCTACGATAATCCGGGTGCTTTGCAAGATCACTTTAAGGAGGATCTTAAGATTTCTACAACGCAGTTTTCCTTGATCTATTCGATCTACTCGTGGCCCAATGTGGTTCTTTGCTTTCTTGGTGGTTTCTTAATTGACAGACTGTTTGGAATCCGGCTGGGAACGGTCATCTACATGTTGATCTTGTTGGTTGGCCAGCTACTTTTTGCGAGCGGTGGAATCCTTGACGCCTTTTGGCTGATGATCCTAGGACGTTTCATATTTGGTATTGGAGCAGAATCACTCGCTGTGGCGCAAAACAGCTATGCCGTTCTGTGGTTTAAGGGCAAAGAACTTAACATGGTCTTCGGCCTACAGTTGTCGGTGGCCCGATTTGGTAGCACGGTTAACTTCTGGGTGATGCAACCAATCTATGATTATGTCAGTAAGTTTTATCAAGGACATCGAGCTCTGGGAGTTGTGCTGCTTTTGGCTACTTTGACATGCGTAATGTCGCTGATCTGTGCACTGATTCTCGGCTGGATGGACAAAAGAGCGGAACGGATTCTTCAGAGAAACAGCAATCCTGCCGGCCAGATACCCAAGCTTACCGACATATTCACGTTCAAGGCGCCCTTTTGGATGGTCTCAATCATTTGTGTGGCATACTATGTGGCTATCTTTCCATTTATTGCCTTAGGACAGAATTTCTTTGTGGATCGCTTTGGTTTAACTAAAAAGGAGGCGAATACCGTGGACTCGTTAGTTTATCTGATTGCGGCCGTGTCGTCTCCGGTATTTGGCTTTATTATCGATAAGCTGGGCAGGAATGTAACGTGGGTCTTTACAGCCACACTGACCACGATTGGAGCCCATGCGCTGCTCACCTTTACCCAGCTGACGCCGTATGTGGGCATGATCATCATGGGCCTCTCCTATTCAATGTTGGCAGCCAGTTTGTGGCCACTTGTGGCTCTCATCATTCCGGAATATCAGCTTGGTACTGCCTACGGCTTCTGCCAATCGATCCAGAATCTCGGCCTGGCGGTGATCACCATTATCGCTGGCATCATCGTGGATCACAGCGGCAAAAACCACACTTGGGTACAACTCTTCTTCATGGGATGGCTGACCGTCGCCCTAATCGCCACCGGAGTTATCTGGGGGTACAACAAAAAACAACGTGGTAATCTCAACATGACGCCCCAGCAGAGGGCGAGCTTTGTCAGTGCGGAAAATTATCAGAACTTTGAATAGAATGGATGAATCAGTAAACAGTAAAGGAAGGAACAAAAGGGGCAGCGAACGGAGAACGTACCCGCAGATCGGATTATTATCGGTTGTAATGTTATTCTCTGCGGGTATTGAAACGCCCTGGTCTTGTCCCACGATGTGATGATGATGTGTGATGATCGGTATTTACTAACTGCAATTCTTCGCCAACCAAGAATGGGGATATACAATACGCCCGGATCATCCTTAAATTGGCCAAGATTTAAGACTGATCCGGTCGGCTTATATACTATTTTAAGCGATATATTTTTAGAACAATTTATTATTACAGTTACAGTTATTGCAGTTTTGTGTCAACGTTTTAAAAATTAAACTTAATATCCAAAAATCACAAAAGTTAAAGAAACATTTAATATAAAGACTTCTGCGCCTTGGGCAAAAAATAAAAAATTACCTTGTATATATTATATGTGTGTTACTGGAACCTATGCTTGTATGTATGTTTATCTCATTCATTCTATATTGGTAGCATTTACACGAGTACAATTGTATTTTAGTGTAATGAAGTGATGAAATATGTAATATATCGCCTGGATTAGTATACCTTAAACATGCCTTCCTTGCAAATAAAAATTACATAAACTGAATTTTGTTAAATTTTGATTATTCAAACACGATATTGTGTTAGACGAACAGCCTGTGTATTTATGTTTTATCATTTGTTTAATTAAGCAAAGAGCTGGCGATGAAAATTCCTATATCCCAATAAAAACAAAAATTTTATGTGTAACTGTAATTTTGCAAAAGTTTTTTTTTAAAACATTTTAATGTCCATGCGCCGCTCAAGAATTTCGATGCACTGCTTGCTGTCCATGCTAAGCACCTTCAGCTCCCGCAATGGTTTCGTTTTCTCCTCCGCCGACTGATTACTTCGGAGCGTCTCTAGTAACAACAAAGCCGTTCCTCGCGCCGCCGTCAACAGTTTGCTGGCGTCGTGAATTCTGACGAACAAAGAGTGAAAGGTGTCAAATTTAGTTTTACTATGCAGTCGCATGTTTCGGGGTGACTCACCTCTTAAAAAGCAGCTCCGGTCGACGAGTATACTGACCAAAGAGCGCAAATAAGTTGCGCGTCATGTCGTAATTAAATTGCGCCGCCCCCGCTGGTGCAAACTTGGTGTTCATGACCATGCTCTCAAGAATGAAGTCATCGATTTGATGGGCTATTAAACGGAGGGTTTGGTTAAAAAGATTGGAAGAGAGTTCACGCTCTAGGTTATGAAGCAGGGTGACCACCACTTGAAACATTTCCCCGCCACTAGGAGAAAGAATAAAAGGCTCTTTGCTATTTTGCTCTGGCATCGTGGGCCAAGCATCATGGCGATAGCTCATCGATTTTGCTTTCATTTCGTTGGTGGCTTTTGTGGCCAGATTTCGCATTAATTGGTGTGTCCAATGTTCCAATTCTGCGACAGAGTGCTCAAACACAGAATTTATCTCCGGGGCATTGGGACCCGCCAGTGCCGAATGGAGATGAAGATAGTGAACGTTTTCGCCCCATTCACGTAGCACCATTACCAAGTAATTAATGGCATTCAGCACAGGAATGCTTGGCACTGCTCCACTGCTGTGTAGCTGCACTAATCTTCGTCGAAAGCTATCGATCAGCTCCAGTTGCAGTTGCAGGAATTGAAGCTGGTGGCCCGGCTGTATGAGTCCATAATATCGATCTTTTATAGCGTCCAAGAGTCGCATAAATTGGTCCGCACATCTGGGAATCTTAAGATCGTCTTCAAATGTATTGGGATCTATTAACTGGAAGGGTGACTCTGCCTGAAGAATATCATCCAATTTTTCCGCACAAACTGCACAGAGAGAAGATTAACTAATAAGTGTATTGGAGGACAGTGACACCCTATCTCACAGCGTTCTTCAAGCGAAATCCAGCGAAGCAAATAAATGGGCTGTGTGATTACGGAAATGGCGCTGGGAAAACTTGCGGGATAACCGAACGTCTCGCGAAGCTCGGCCTCGAACGATAAAGTCTCGTCTAGAAGATGTGCGAAGAGTATCTCGTCTTGAGCGATCTGTTCAATATCCACTACCATCTTTTCAATGGTTAACTGAACCAGGCCCCGCATAAATTCGAGCTGTAAGTGTCTTAAGTTAAATAAGTTACAATGATTAATCTCAATAATAAGATACCCTTATATTGTAGTCCAATTTTCCAGCCTTTATTGCAGCCGGCTGGAATGTCTTGCCTACGAAAAAGTGCGTCTCCTTTCCCCAGTTGAGAATCTGCGTATAGAACCACTCGGGTTTGTCTAATCGATTTGTTTGCCGGGTTCCGGTAAAGTGAAACAAAAAACGCTGGCGATAAGGTGCTAGCAAAAGCTGCACTACCTGACTGATGGGTGGACAAACGATACTGGGCGTGATGCTCTGCAATGGTGCTTGTTCTTCTGCTGGAGACTTGATGAGGAACATATATTCTGCCAGTAGCTGGGCCTTGGCAGTGTCTCGGGTGGGGGAGTAGTTAAGGGGTTGCTGATTTAAATGCGCCCAGCGCATATTTTTTAGCACTATTTCAAATTCGCTAGAAAGTCGCGTCATCAGGAGCTTATGCCAGTATATGGCAGTGCGTTCGGCAAAGGATTTAAGGGATTTCGCCTGTAGGGAATGCAGGCGTCCCACCACACTGTGTTCGCAGTCGTTACCCTCAAAAAGCGTAAGGTAAATATTGACTAACTTTGCCTCGTCCTTGCCATTTATTGTGTTTCCCAGCGCAACACTGATTTCCTGGATGTCTTGGACCAAACGAAGATACTGCGTTAATCTCTGCATATGACGAACTTGGTCCAAATCGGCAGCTACTTTTTCCATGGCGGGCTGACACTCCTGCAGTTTTCGTTTTAGTTTAGCCCCAAACTGGGCCAGTTTCTCCAGCTCAAAGTCAATACTCTCGCATACTTGTTGTTGGCATTGGAAGGCAGATTTGTAGCAAGAAACGTTCTGAACATCTTCATAGTCGAGCTGTAGGTAATTCATTATTAAATTCGTATTTTTATAAATCAAATTCTGGTACCGTCTGGGAAATGGCCTGAAGACGCTCCTTGTAATAAGTGGCTATGCGACTGGCGCGATTTAATCGGTTACCGTCCTTTCCGATCTCCTCGTTCAGCCGGGCTACGATTCGCAGTTCCATCTCGCTTAATTTTGCATGCATTTTAGAGCCGGAAAAGCTTAAACTACATTCAAAATAAAAACCAATCGGGCCCACGAACCACGTATAAAAATAAATAGTTTTACAATGGGACCAGCTTATGCTAATATTGCTATACCAAATTCGAGGTAAAAGATAGATCTGTTCATATATTTTTTTTCAAAATCAATATTCATATTGATTTTGGTTAGAACAATTAAAAAAATTTTTTTATGGATATAATTTATAAATAATTTGCAATAGGGATTATAATAATTCATAAATTCGAAATCAACACCCAGTTGCCAATATGGTAACACCAGTATATCGGTCCCGATAACCCAGGGATGCAAAAAATCCTAGAAGCGGGCGTTGTTTAAATAGACAGGTGTTGGCGTCCCTTTTGCTGCAAATATAACAAGCACAAGCTCATCAATAAAATGTACACACCTAGGCAGAAAAGTTGTATCCCTTCAAAAGGCTTTGTCCCTTCTCCACAAACGCCGCTTAGCTTTAGCCGGGAGCTGCGCCAGGTGCTTCAGGAGAGGAATCTTCTCACAGCTAAGTCTCGCAAGAAAGGTGAGAAAATTATAAGGGACGCTAGGCGTTAAATTCTAATTGAGAATTCCAATTTTTTCGGCAGTTTGCTCTATGTTGGACAGCAATAATAGCAGTCCCATTGGTTCGCCTAACCCTGAGTCTGGAAAACGACTTGGTTTTCGATTACAGGCCATCCAGGAGATCATCTCGTCGGAAAAATCATATCTAGAGCAGCTCGAACTTCTTGTCAATTTTTTTGTGCGACCGTTGAAGGAGCAGGCTATCATAGATAGCTCCAACCACACTCTTCTTTTTGGCCAGATAGAAATGATTTACAATCTGAATGGCGAGTTTCTGAAGGAATTGGAGGCTAACATGGAAAATGTGGCTCAAGCATTCCTTAAAATGGCTCCATTTTTTAAGTTGTATTCGGTTTATGCATTTGACTACCGTGGAGCCATGTTGGCTATACAGGATCTAATAAGTAAGAATCCAGTGTTTAGAAAGTTTCTGGAGCAGACCGAGAGTCGTCCAGAAGTGCAGCGTAAGCTGAACTCGCTGATGATTGTGCCAATACAGCGAGTGCCTCGGTATAAGCTGCTTCTTGAGCAGGTTCTGCTGTACACCAGCCCTGCGGATGCAGACTACAAGCTACTTAAGGGTAAGTTTCACATCCATTCACCCTGGCATAGATTTTAAATATTTTTCCTTTTAGAATCTGTTAAGGAGATTGAAGCCACAGCTACACATATCAATACTTGCGTGGAGGAGCAGGAGATCACTCAGTATCTTATTCATTTGCAGAACTCCTTGGTCAATCGCACTCCTAACATTGTTAAGCCTTCCCGACGAGTCATTAAAGAAGGAGTTCTGCAAAAGATCACCCACAAGGGAACGGAAATCAAGCGCTATTGCGTACTAATGTCAGACATATTCATGTACTGTAAGATGCTCAAGGAACGGAGCCCGAACACGGTAGTGGAAAACTCCTTAGAGTGCTGCTGCATTTTCCCTCTGAAAAAGTGCAAAGTTTTTGAGATGCTGCCTGGTAATTTTAAGTTGACGTGCCAGAGCGATGGAATAATATTTGGCAGCGGAGATGTGCAACTTTCTCGTACTTGGGTGGGTTTTATTCGAGATGCAATTGATCTGCATGTTCAGTGCCGTAAGACTTTGCGCAAGGATTCAAGCAAACGGACTCCGATTCGCAAGAAGGACATGAAAAAGTTTGGAACCGATTACATACTAAGCCCCAACAAACGCAAAAGCGTACGTTTTTAAAAAGTTTTATTAATATATATATATTTAAACTATTTTATTTTCTTCAGGATTATGAGTCTGTTTTTCGCAATAAAAATCGCACTACAGATTCAGAGGAGGAAGCTGAGGAACCTGCGTGCTTTTCGCGCAAGCGCAAGCTTCCTAACACTATTATGAAACCTCAAAATTCAAACCCAAAAGCTGATAAATTGAGCAGATCTTTGACGGCAAAAAACTTGGCAATTCCAAAACCACCACCACCACCTCCCGTTGCTGTTCAAATGCGTTATCCACCGGTAAGTCTGACAGAGTACAAGCAAAATCGCATATCACGGCTATACAAAAAGATTGCCACGAGTGAAAAGGAGAGCAATGTGCGGGGCATTCTCAAAAGGAACAACGGGCCGGCAAACAATAACGATCATGATCCCAGCTACGCCTTTTCTAACCGCTTGTCAGATTCTAAGTCCTACTTTAGAGCTCACAATGTGGACAATACCATACCCACAGTTGTGAGGCGTGAAGATATCTTTAACGGGGAGAACTTGTTTCCCGCAAAATTCCAGACTCCTGCTAACGGGAGGAGCGAAGAGGATCTTTTCTCACCCCCACAAAAAAAGAGGGTAAAATTCGATGACGTGGGACCAATTTCGACGTTTACCGTCCAATCAAATTGTTTCGCAAGCGACGAAGCCCCCAAAACTAATTCATTGCGTGACCGGATCTATGATTTTTTTGCTAATCTATTCTAGAACTAGATAACATAAATTTAAATCGTATAAGGTATTCATTGTTTACTCGATTATCATCTTCGCTAATAAAAACAATAATAACTAAATTAACTGGTGTTTCTCAGATTACAAACTTCGCGCATGAAATCTTCAACAGTTTGGTCATTGATTTCTTCCATCCAGTTGCCGTTTTTCTTAAAATGGGAACCAATTATGACGGCATGGGCATCTTTATAGTAACTTTTAATGTTATTCTTAGTAACTCCAGACCCGATGATCAGAGGAACCTTTACTTTACCAGATAAATGTTGGAGATCTTCTGGGCTGGCTGGATGGCCAGTCGCTGTGCCCGTGATAATAATGCCATCGGTCATAAAAAATTCGGCTGCATGAGATGTCTCGAGTAGGCTGACATCAGCTGTTACGGCATGAGAACTATGCTTTTTTTTCAGATCTGTAAAAACAAGCACATCCTTGGCATCGATAAGATTCCTATACCGCATCAAATCACCGGCACAGGCATCCGTGTATCCTTCGTCTGCCACGTGACCGAAAATGAATCCCTCGCAGCGTATAAATTGTAGCTGACTGGCTTTGGCTATAGCCAACGCTTGCTTATTTCCACAGGCTAGGACTTGGACACCACAAGGGGTCTCCTTCGGTATAACAACTCGTACTTCCCTTGCTAGTCGCGTCATGCAAGTCACTATTTCCGCTCCAAGAAGCCGCTCCGGTACATAGGGAATATCGTGCATGTTCTCAATTAATACGGCGTCCTGTAAATAAATGTTAAGTCAAAATTGAATGTAAATATTAATTCAAACCTTGTTTCTTACCAGTTGGTGTTTTTTGTAAAGATTCGCCTCAAAGATTGCCTTTTCAATAGTCTGCTTCCAGTTTCCGCCATAACGGGGAGTTCCTGATGTTGTTTTTTGTTTTAAAGGAATTTTAAATTAAAGGTTCCTCACCTGGCAGCGCATCTACGTGAATCATGCCAATAACTTTGCACGTTTTTGGGCCAAATACCCTCACAAACCGTTGCATATTTTATTTATGTGAAAAAATAATCCAAAATTAACACGATAAAATCGTTTTCGGGAAAACAGCTGATTAGCGCCAGGGATGGATTAATATTGATTATAAATAATAAAAATTAATTAAATTCTATGAAATCTTTTAAATATAAAAAAGCATGTTTCGTAGATTAAGATACCATACATATGTTTGTATTCTTTAAATTTGTCTAGAAAAAATAAAAAATCTAGATTTCTAAAAATCTAGAAAAAAATAAATTTTAAGATTTTTAGTCAAATTTTCTGGAGGGTCCCCTTCAAAAATGCATGGAGCCCCTATATGGCTCATAGTGTAAGCTATATCTTTGCCAATATTCATCCGATTCTTAGGCGGAATACCTTAAACGATTCTTACAACGATTCTACATAAATCTGCATTAAAATCTAGAAACAAATAAATTTTTAGATTTTTAATCAAATTTTCTGGAAGGTCCCCATCAAAAATGCATTTAGCCCCTATATGGCTCATAGTGTAGGCTATATCTTTGCCAATATTCATCCGATTCTTGAGCGGAATATCTTAAACGATTAGTAATATGATTCTACATAAATCTGCATCAAAATCTAGAAACAAATATATTTTAAGATTTTTAGTCAAATTTTCTGGAGTCTCCCTTCAAAAATGCATGCACCTTAAACGATTCGTACAATGATTCTACATAAATCTGCATCAAAATCTAGATACAAAAAAATTTTAAGATTTTTAGTCAATTTTTGTGGAGGGTCCCCTTCAAAAATGCATAGAGCCCCTATATGGCCCGTAACGAAGGCTATATCTTTGGCAATATTCATCCGATTCTTGAGCGGAATACATTAAACGATTCGTACAACGATTCTACATAAATCTGCATCAAAATCTAGAAACAAATAAATTTTAAGATTTTTAGTCAAATTTTCTGGAGGGTCCCCTTCAAAAATGCATAGAGCCCCTATATGGCTCATAGTGTAGGCTATATCTTTGGCAATATTCATCCGATTCTTGAGACGAATACCTTAAACGATTCGTACAACGATTCTACATAAATCTGCATCAAAATCAAGAAACAAATAAATTTTAAGATAAACAAATAAATCCCCTTCAAAAATGCATAGAGCCCCTATATGGCTCATAGTGTAGGCTATATCTTTGGCAATATTCATCCGATTCTTGAGACGAATACCTTAAACGATTCGTACAACGATTCTACATAAATCTGCATCAAAATCAAGAAACAAATAAATTTTAAGATTTTTAGTCAAATTTTCTGGAGGGTCCTCTTCAAAAACACATGGAGCCCCTATATGGCTCATAGTGTAGGCTATATCTTTGGCAATATTCATCAGATTCTTGAGCGGAATACCTTAAACGATTCGTACAACGATTCTACATAAATCTGCATCAAAATCTAGAAACAAATTTTAAGATTTTTAGTTAAATTTTCTGGAGGGTCCCCTTCAAAAATGCATGGAGCCCCTATATGGCTCATAGTGTAGGCTATATCTTTGGCAATATTCATCCGATTCTTGAGCCGAATACCTTAAACGATTCGTACAACGATTCTACATAAATCTGCATCAAAATCTAGAAACAAATTTTAAGATTTTTAGTTAAATTTTCTGGAGGGTCCCCTTCAAAAATGCATGGAGCCCCTATATGGCTCATAGTGTAGGCTATATCTTTGGCAATATTCATCCGATTCTTGAGCCGAATACCTTAAACGATTCGTACAACGATTCTACATAAATCTGCATCAAAATCTAGAAACAAATAAATTTTAAGATTTTTAGTCAAATTTTCTGGAGGGTCGCCTTCCAAAATGCATGGAGCCCCTATATGGCCCGTAACGAAGGCTATATCTTTGGCAATAGTCATCCGATTCTTGAGCGGAATACCTTAAACGATTCGTACAATGATTCTACATAAATCTGCATCAAAATCTAGAAAAAAATAAATTTTAAGATTTTTAGTCAAATTTTCTGGAGGGTCCCCTTCAAAAATGCATAGAGCCCCTATATGGCTCATAGTGTAGGCTATATCTTTGGCAATATTCATCCGATTCTTGAGCGGAATACCTTAAACGATTCGTACAACGATTCTACATAAATCTGCATCAAAATCTAGAAACAAATAAATTTTAAGATTTTTAGTCAAATTTTCTGGTGGGTCCCCTTCAAAAATGCATGGATCCCCTATATGGCTCATAGTGTAGGCTATATCTTTGCCAATATTCATCCGATTCTTGAGCGGAATACCTTAAACGATTCGTACAACGATTCTGCATAAATCTGCATCAAAATCTAGAAACAAATAAATTTTAAGATTTTTAGTCAAATTTTCTGGAGGGTCCCCTTCAAAAATGCATGGAGCCCCTATATGGCTCATAGTGTAGGCTATATCTTTGGCAATATTCATCCGATTCTTGAGCCGAATACCTTAAACGATTCGTACAACGATTCTACATAAATCTGCATCAAAATCTAGAAACAAATAAATTTTAAGATTTTTAGTCAAATTTTCTGGAGGGTCCCCCTTAACATAAATCTGCATCAAAATCTAGAAACAAATAAATTTTAAGATTTTTAGTCAAATTTTCTGGAGGGTCCCCTTCAAAAATGCATGGAGCCCCTATATGGCTCATAGTGTAGGCTACATCTTTGGCAATATTCATCCGATTCTTGAGCGGAATACCTTAAACGATTCGTACAATGGTTCTTCATAAATCTGCATCAAAATCTAGAAACAAATAAATTTTAAGATTTTCAGTCAAATTTTCTGGAGGGTCCCCTTCAAAAATGCATGGAGCCCCTATATGGCCCGTAACGAAGGCTATATCTTTGGCAATAGTCATCAGATTCTTGAGCGGAATACCTTAAACGATTCGTACAACGATTCTACATAAATCTGCATCAAAATCTAGAAACAAATAAATTTTAAGATTTTCAGTCAAATTTTCTGGAGGGTCCCCTTCAAAAATGCATGGAGCCCCTATATGGCTCATAGTGTAGGCTATATCTTTGGCAATATTCATCCGATTCTTGAGCGGAATACCTTAAACGATTCGTACAACGATTCTACATAAATCTGCATCAAAATCTAGAAACAAATAAATTTTAAGATTTTTAGTCAAATTTTCTGGAGGGTCCCCTTCAAAAATGCATGGAGCCCCTATATGGCTCATAGTGTAGGCTATATCTTTGGCAATATTCATCCGATTCTTGAGCGGAATACCTTAAACGATTCGTACAACGATTCTACATAAATCTGCATTAAAATCTAGAAAAAAAATAAATTTTAAGATTTTTAGTCAAATTTTGTGGAGGGTCCCCTTCAAAAATGCATGGAGCCCCTATATGGCTCATAGTGTAGGCTATATCTTTGGCAATATTCATCCGATTCTTGAGACGAATACCTTAAACGATTCGTACAACGATTCTACATAAATCTGCATCAAAATCTAGAAACAAATAAATTTTAAGATTCTTAGTCAAATTTTCTGGAGGGTCCCCTTCCAAAATGCATGGAGCCCCTATATGGCCCGTAACGAAGGCTATATCTTTGGCAATAGTCATCCGATTCTTGAGCGGAATACCTTAAACGATTCGTACAACGATTCTACATAAATCTGCATCAAAATCTAGATACAAATAAATTTTAAGATTTTTAGTCAAATTTTCTGGAGGGTCCCCTTCAAAAATGCATGGAGCCCCTATATGGCTCATAGTGTAGGCTATATCTTTGGCAATATTAATCCGATTCTTGAGCGGAATACCGCTATATGGCCCATAGAGCCCCTATATGGCTCATAGTGTAGGCTATATCTTTGTCAATATTTATCCGATTCTTAGGCGGAATACCTTAAACGATTCTTACAACGATTCTACATAAATCTGCATCAAAATCTAGAAACAAATAAATTTTAAGATTTTTAGTCAAATTTTCTGGAGGGTCCCCTTCAAAAATGCATGGAGCCCCTATATGGCTCATAGTGTAGGCTATATCTTTGGCAATATTCATCCGATTCTTGAGCGGAATACCTTAAACGATTCGTACAACGATTCTACATAAATCTGCATCGAAATCTAGAAACAAATAAATTTTAAGATTTTTAGTCAAATTTTCTGGAGGGTCCCCTTCAAAAATGCATGGAGCCCCTATATGGCTCATAGTGTAGGCTACATCTTTGGCAATATTCATCCGATTCTTGAGCGGAATACCTTAAACGATTCGTACAACGATTCTACATAAATCTGCATCAAAATCTAGAAACAAATAAATTTTAAGATTTTTAGTCAAATTTTCTGGAGGGTCCCCTTCAAAAATGCATGGAACCCCTTTATGGCCCGTAACGAAGGCTATATCTTTGGCAATAGTCATCCGATTCTTGAGCGGAATACCTTAAACGATTCGTACAACGATTCTACATAAATCTGCATCAAAATCTAGAAACAAATAAATTTTAAGATTTTTAGTCAAATTTTCTGGAGGGTCCCCTTCCAAAATGCATGGAGCCCCTATATGGCCCGTAACGAAGGCTATATCTTTGGCAATATTCATCCGATTCTTGAGCGGAATACCTTAAACGATTCGTACAACGATTCTACATAAATCTGCATCAAAATCTAGAAACAAATAAATTTTAAGATTTTTAGTCAAATTTTCTGGAGGGTCCCCTTCAAAAATGCATGGAGTCCCTTTATGGGCCGTAACGAAGGCTATATCTTTGGCAATAGTCATCCGATTCTTGAGCGGAATACCTTAAACGATTCGTACAACGATTCTACATAAATCTGCATCAAAATCTAGAAACAAATAAATTTTAAGATTTTTTGTCATATTTTGTGGAGGGTCCCCTTCAAAAATGCATGGAGCCCCTATATGGCTCATAGTGTAGGCTATATCTTTGGCAATATTCATCCGATTCTTGAGCGGAATACCTTAAACGATTCGTACAATGATTCTACATAAATCTGCATCAAAATCTAGATACAAATAAATTTTAAGATTTTTAGTCAAATTTTCTGGAGGGTCCCCTTCAAAAATGCATGGAGCCCCTATATGGCT